CCGCCCATTGTTGCCTGTATCTGATTGAAAGCACGGTTTGCGAATCATTACTGTCTAGAACAGGCGCAGTGCTATCATATACCATTTTACTAACGCTAATTGCTTCTTCGTTGTCTAGTTTATATAATTTTTATTTAGAGGAAAGTAGATTATTAACGGGTAAGGAAATTTTACACGATTGCCCGTATGCAAAAGCTACAAATTACTCAGCGGGCTATGGAGTGGGCTATGCTCGGAGTTTTTTTGCGTTTTTATTTTTATTTTTTATTTATTCATTTATTTTATATCCGCAAAAGAACCAATGTAACCGACATAGCCTGTAGGATAAGCAAGCTGAAATGGCAATGAGCTGGTCACAAAACTCAAAGAAGCGACAACTGATGGAGAAGAAAAGTTCTTGAGTGGAGGCCCCATACGGGCAATCGCAGTGTAGGACGATTACTAGGTGGAGTAGCTCAGGACCGTTCCTTATGGCAATTTATGGGAGAGACCTATGTCCAGCAGTGGACGGATAATGGCTGAAATGATGAATGGAATTTTATTAACTACAGCAGTCAATACATTGATATTTTACGAATATATTAGTTTGAGGACGTCTACCATAAATGAAATTTCAAAATTTCGCACTCGAATTTCATGTTTTAATTCATACCGAAATCGGCCTAGTAAATGGAGCTTAACATTTCATCCGTCATAAATTCTGCCATTATAGTCCAAAGGTATTTTAATATTTTTAAACGGTATGTATTATGTAATTTTAACATAAAATATTTGGTTCGTTCGGCGCCGAAATTTCGGAAAACATTTCATGGTAGGCCCTCTGTAACTATGATGGTTTACGATAATGATCATGAAATTGTCTATTATATCCAATAAGTACATACATATGTACACATAAATAGACACACAAATAGATAACTTCAAAACATATTACGTATAGACACGTGATGCGTGTTTTAAGAAAGATATTAAGTATGAATGTGGATGGCTATAAGGACGGAGGAAGAGTTAAAAAGATAGATAGATAGATAGATAACCTTTATTACCAGTATTAAGAAAATAAAAAATTAAAACAATAAAATGAAAAAAAAAATTTGCTGGTAATAGAAGCCGCCTCAGCTGTTGCTTTATATGTACAGCTCCAGCGAGAAGTACTTATATAGCGCTGATTTTCAGGCGGCCCCTTAACTCCTTTACCTTTAGCATGCGTGTGGGTCGCCAATACTTATTTCTCGGATGGGAGACTCAACACGCTTAACAACAAATACATAAAACCTTACAACTAAAACTGAAAAGAACAAACTCTGAATAAATTATCACACTTTACAATGACAGTATCATAAAACGATATTGATGGACTGTGTAAAAGATGATATGGTCAGAATGAGAGTGAATGCATTTTTACATTGCGAATAGAGAAGAACGGAAAAAAAAAAACATATTACGCGGACCTCAAATAATAATTGGGATAAGGCTAAGAAGATTATACATACGTATGTATTTACAATTCGTAAGGTCCAGTCAGTGCCGGATTAACTAATAGGCTGTATAGGGTATGGCTTATGGGCCGCAGATATTAGAAGGCTCTCGCGTACTTCTACCTCGTTCTTGCCTATTCGTATCAATATCAACGCCAAATAAATAGACTATAAATAGTCAAAAGTACTTCTTGACTACAAACTGAAGCTCGAAAGCTAGTATATTTCTCTGATATGTATGAGCTAATTACGAAGTTTGAATGTCCGATGCCGTAAGATGCCTCCATTGAAATGTCAATCAAACTAGGGATGACCGATATTTGTCAATATTATCCTAATATCGATATTAAGAAGCAAAATATCAATGTTTTGATATGGATATTAGTATCTTTAAAATATCGCAATATGAATACTTTAGAATTAATATTGATTTACCAATATTTTATTTAGAAGTATCGATATGTCTTTAGTGTGAATATGGACGGCATAGTAACTTTAGCGTAATAATTAGTAAATTTGGTATAATGGTAAAGTTTTCTAAACGTATAACTAAATAAATCATATCAGTCATACAATACCTAAATAATGAATAATAATAATAATACAGGAGATACGTACCTATTGTGAAATATTTTCAATGACTGATAATATTGTAACAAACTCTTGAACTATTTCTAAAATAAAAAAAAAGAGTTGTCCTCCTCTCTCCTACTTACTGTGCCCAAAAGAGTCCATAATTGAAGTTGAAATGTTATCTACTAATCACATTATGGAATGCAATAAGAAATAAATAAATAAAGTAATAATACTAATAATATAATAATATTTTTTATTCAAGTGAGATACAGTTGCATAAAGTCTTTCCCCATCCCATATAGTAGATACCTGTATACCAAATTTCATAGTGATTAGTTTAGATTATTAGCTAAGAGATAAGAAACAAACATAATTTCACATTTATAATATTAGTAAAGATGCCAATATCGATATTTACGCAATATCACTCCTCCCTAATCGACCGCGTGCACTCAGTTGGCAGACTGTTGGACGCCCGATTGCGTCGTATAAAACTTGATAGCTTTTGCATTCGTATTCAAGTTTAATGTATGGAAATTATGCTAAGACATGCCTCTTGCCTTCCGTGTTTACATATAAGCAATTTACTTCATTTTTAATGTACTTTTGCGCGGCAAACATTGAATGCAAACAGAGACGTTTGCACTGTGGAGAAACAGCCAGTTAATGGTATTGAAAATGTTTATTTTGATTGTGTAATAATCGAATGTCTAATTTAGTTTAGAGAATTTATGAATGGTTCGAATAACTATGATTTTAAGTGATTTCCGTAAAGAGCATCTCTATTCGACTGATTTTTTTTTATGATAGGTTATGCAGTCGAAAAATATATAACTTATAATAACTTTAATCACTATTTAAAAACGTAAAAGTGAAGATGGATCCATGTTTGTTACACTTTCACACAAAAACTATTATATGAATTTAAATGAAATTTGGTACACGGGCAAGGTTATATTCTAACTTAATACATAGGATTCTTTATTTTGGACTAATTATTGAAATAGTTTTGAAATATGTAGTACTAGTTCCGACCTGCGACTTTGTCCGCGTGGCCGGTATAATGTTCGATTACCAAGATAAAAAATAGCCTATGTCCTTTATCCCGTATAGCACGTGTGTATCTTTCGTAGTAATTAATTACCTCATTAAGTCGCTAAGAGACAAATTCACTTTCTTTTTTTTTTTTGTAAGGTTAGTATAGATGTGCACTCGAGTGAAGAGCTTTTAACGTGAACGGTGGACAGTGCCGTGTGCCGTGGCCGCATGTGAACCGCCGTGAGTTGAGATCACGAGTTAGAAAGTGAATTTGGCAACCTACGTGTGTAACCGTGGGAAATTGCCTTGACGTCAACTATACGGAATATGGATAAATAAACTAATCAATACATATAATAAAAGCGTAACTGGTCACTATCTGTATATGGAAGATGTATAAAAAAAACGATTATAAGGGGGGCTTAATGAACGCAATAGAACTCAAGACAATGATTTTTAGAATTTTTATCTGATTGTTTGTGACGGCTTAACCGATTTGAATGCGGTTTTCACTATTGCGGCGACGCGTTACATACAAGTTGTTTGAAAAATATCCAAATACATACAATGAAATTACAGGCTACACAGGTATAAAACCTTAATCCTCAGGAATGGCAACGCATGAGGTATATCATGGGCGACACAGTATACTGTGTTATGCCCTTGTTTACCATTGAAAATTTTATAAAATAAGACGCAGTGACACTGACAGTTTGTGTTGTTATTATTGTAATAATTATACAAAATAAATATTTTTAGTTCAGTATTAATGGAGATAGTTTTGGGAACATACATACTATCTATAATATAATACATGCACAAGTATTATAAACAAAAAGTATTTATTTAATTATTTATTTCTTATTGCATATCATAATAATAATAACTACATGGGACAGATAAAAAAAAACACTAGTTGTCATGTCGTATAGGGAGGTCAAGGATATGGCCTCGGATAGAGCTGGCTGGAAGATGCATGAATTAGAAAAGAAAAGACCATAATGTGATTGGTGAATATTAAAACAACTCTAATTATGGACCCTTTTGGAGATAGCAATTTGGAGAGCCGTTTCTTTTTTTTTACTTCAGAAAGAGTTTATTACAATATTATTTAATCATTGAAATTGTTTCACAATGGTATTTTCTGTTATTATTATTCATTATTTAAGTATTGACATGTATTTATTCATGTTATAATTATTTATTATCAATAATCACTCTGATAACTTAATGGCCACTAACAAATAGTTAAATGATAAAATTACAGCAATATCGGATTTAACTATGTCTTAAATTATTATTTATTTGTAATTATTTGTTTTAAAGATAACAAGATAATTTCAATTTGTTATTCAAGTATTCGTTAATGTTACTATACTATATTTTGTAATTAATAACTTTTTAAGATTCCTTACAAAAATATTGTCATTTTCTTCATTTTTTAATTATTCTGGCAATTTATTATATATTTTAATTGATGACACGAAATGATCCACAAAGTGCATAGCTAACAGAGATGATAGAAGAAACAGTCTATCTCTGTGTTTTAAATCTTACTTTGTTCATTTTTCTTCTCGTATTCAAAGAAATTTGCAATTTTCCAAATTTTTAGAATATACGTACAGGCCAAAATGTGTTCCATGTTTAAAAAAAAATTAGTTTACAACTATCGCGTTTATCTATATTAACTAATATACGGACTAGTTTTTTTTTTTTTTTTTTTAATAGCAAAAGAATGTATTTATTATTTACTTATGTGATAAAATCAAGCTTCATTAAAATCCTATCAGCTGGATGGTGTACGGAGATCCTAAAATATTTTTTTAAAAAAATTTTCAATTTCAGAAATAATTCTTTAAAAGAATGATGTTGTTGTAAAAGTTAATTAACACACTTCTTCGTCCACAGACCGGCTCCGGCAAGACATATACCATGGGCAGCGGGTGGGAGGGCGAGGGCGAGGGCCAGGAGGAGCGGCGGGGCATCATCCCCCGCGCTATCCGCGACCTTTTCGCCGGCGCCGAGGCGAGAACTGAGACTGCTCGCGCCCAGGGTCAACTGCCTCCAGAATTCTCAGTGCAGGCACAGTTTATAGAGCTCTACAACGAGGATATAGTCGATCTGCTTGATCCAGCCAAAGATCCTTTTGCAAAGGTGATTTATGTATTATAATTTTATTACACAATAATGCACTATGTCGGATTTAAGAATTTAAAGCAACTGAAATGAATATCTTACTTTCTACAAATAATATTCCACTTCCTTAAATTACAAATGAAAAAGTATTTTTTTTATTTTTATTTGTTTGTTTTCTTTTAGCGTCTTAACTACTCAACATGTCTGGGCACAATCTGCTTGTATGCCAAATTTATATAAAATTTAGCATACAAGCATATGAAGAATTGACATAAAAGACTTATACAATTTTGTTTTTCACGGGCACAGTTAGTAATTTGAAGGGTATTGTTAAAGAAATATTAATGTAAAGTTTTATTATTTGCTGTTATTATTTTATTGCCTTGGTCCCGATATAGAACGGCCCCCCCCCCCTTCCCATAGGTGTCGTAAGAAACGATGAAGGGAATTTAGTGGTCGAAGGATGAACAGCAGTATCCCCATTAAAACACCAACAAAAGCCTAACTGCGATTGTCAACCCGTCTCCCAAGCGTGGTAAATACTGGTAAAACTCCTCTTATGTGGAAGCCCTATATTCAGCAATGGACAGTTAACGGCTGATAATTTTTTTTTAATGGATGAAAATGGAATGGCAACCTCGCCTGCGCTATCGGTATACGCTGGCGGGGCACTAGTGAGAGGTGATAGGTGAAGGTGAAAGCAGGTCAGTTAACCCATTGTGAAGAATTCCGTGAAAATTAACCATGATGGTTTCCAGAGGGAACCGCGTGGAGGTCGACCTGATAGGGTACATTGCTAGCAGTGGAACTATTAGATCCCATTACTAACAATCCCTTACCCCCCAACGGCTGATGTTATGATGATGATGCCTAGTAGAATAATGGTGATTATATTAAATTAACATCATCAACAGAATTTATCAAAATCAGCATAAGTGAATCCGATTTAATTTGAATTAAACTTTGTACGAGCAATATCATTCATAAATGTTACTTTGTCTAGGGGGCTCTATGATGATTATCAATACTGATTACTAATTAATATTTATATATTGATAACTATCGTAATCAACATAATGAGTATAATTTTCCAATGCACTGATCATTGACACTTATTTTTAGATTAAAATTAAACCCTATTTGCTTGTTACGTCAACAAGAAAATGATTTATCTATTTTTTTTTTTTAATGGGTGATAATAGAATGGTAACCCAGCCTGCGCCACTGGCGGGACACCAGTGAGAGATGATAATGAATTCCTAAAGAATCAATCAATATGATTACCACGTAAAGGTCGACCTGATAGAGGGTGTATAGCAATGGGGTTGTTAGATCCTTATGTATATGTTTATTTGTTTATATATGTAAATTTAGTATGTATGTATATCAATAGTTATTAGTACCGCATTCGAGTATTCTGACACTTCTGTATAGTTGACTGGGAGATAATGCTTTTAGCATTAAGTCCGCCATATACACATATATGTACTAATAAATAAATAAATATACATACACCTCTAATTAGATAAATGATAACAAGCCTGACTGTTAACAAAACCGATTTCCCGTCATGTCACACTAACGAAAGCTCAAGGCTACGCTAGATATATTTTTAAACCATGTTGTAATTAAAGGGTCATGTCCACGGAGCGCGAAGAAATAGTAGTGCAGGGCAGCGGAGCGTGCTATCAGAGTGCTATATAACGAGATAGTGTCGATAAACCGACCGGCTGCCATTAAAACAAGAAAACTGACTTATGAAGTACCGTTATTATCGTAGTATATACAAAGGAGACTTTGTACAAAAGTCGATTGCACTAGTTTTCTACCTTGAAGCAGTTGTGTTTGCATGGCTGTGTTTCAGTTTGAAGAAGCAGAAAGCAGGTCAGTTAACCCATTGTGAAGAATTCCGTGAAAATTAACCATGATGGTTTCCAGAGGGAACCGCGTGGAGGTCGACCTGATAGGGTACATTGCTAGCAGTGGAACTAGTAGATCCCATTACTAACAATCCTTTACCCCCCAACGGCTGATATTATGATGATGATGCCTAGTAGAATAATGATGATTATATTAAATTAACATCATCAACAGAATTTATCAAAATCAGCATAAGTGAATCCGATTTAATTTGAATTAAACTTTGTACGAGCAATATCATTCATAAATGTTACTTTGTCTAGGGGGCTCTAATACGATGATTATCAATACTGATTACTAATTAATATTTATATATTGATAACTATCGTAATCAACATAATGAGTATAATTTTCCAATGCACTGATCATTGACACTTATTTTTAGATTAAAATTAAACCCTATTTGCTTGTTACGTCAACAAGAAAATGATTTATCTATTTTTTTTTTAATGGGTGATAATAGAATGGTAACCCAGCCTGCGCTATCGGTATACACTGGCGGGACACCAGTGAGAGATGATAATGAATTCCTAAAGAATCAATCAATATGATTACCACGTAAAGGTCGACCTGATAGAGGGTGTATAGCAATGGGGTTATTAGATCCTTATGTATATGTTTATTTGTTTATATATGTAAATTTAGTATGTATGTATATCAATAGTTATTAGTACCGCATTCGAGTATTCTGACACTTCTGTATAGTTGACTGGGAGATAATGCTTTTAGCATTAAGTCCGCCATATACACATATATGTACTAATAAATAAATAAATATACATACACCTCTAATTAGATAAATGATAACAAGCCTGACTGTTAACAAAACCGATTTCCCGTCATGTCACACTCGAAAGCTCAAGGCTACGCTAGATATATTATCGTAAACCATGTTGTAATTAAAGTGGTCACTGTCCACGGAGCGCGAAGAAATAGTAGTGCAAGCGGAGCGTGCTATCAGAGTGCTATATAACGAGATAGTGTCGATAAACCGACCGGCTTACGTGATTTCCATTAAAACAAGAAAACTGACTTATGAAGTACCGTTATTATCGTAGTATAGTATACAAAGGAGACTTTGTACAAAAGTCGATTGCTTGGGTACCTCTGTCCCATTCCCGTTTTCTACCTTGAAGCAGTTGTGTTTGCATGGCTGTGTTTCAGTTTGAAGCAAGCAGGTGAAAGCAGGTCAGTTAACCCATTGTGAAGAATTCCGTGAAAATTAACCATGATGGTTTCCAGAGGGAACCGCGTGGAGGTCGACCTGATATACATTGCTAGCAGTGGAACTATTAGATCCCATTACTAACAATCCCTTACCCCCCAACGTGATGTTATGATGATGATGCCTAGTAGAATAATGGTGATTATATTAAATTAACATCATCAACAGAATTTATCAAAATCAGCATAAGTGAAATATCATTCATAAATGTTACTTTGTCTAGGGGGCTCTAATACGATGATTATCAATACTGATTACTAATTAATATTTATATATTGATAACTATCGTAATCAACATAATGAGTATAATTTTCCAATGCACTGATCATTGACACTTATTTTTAGATTAAAATTAAACCCTATTTGCTTGTTACGTCAACAAGAAAATGATTTATCTATTTTTTTTTTAATGGGTGATAATAGAATGGTAACCCAGCCTGCGCTATCGGTATACACTGGCGGGACACCAGTGAGAGATGATAATGAATTCCTAAAGAATCAATCAATATGATTACCACGTAAAGGTCGACCTGATAGAGGGTGTATAGCAATGGGGTTGTTAGATCCTTATGTATATGTTTATTCGTTTATATATGTAAATTTAGTATGTATGTATATCAATAGTTATTAGAACCGCATTCGAGTATTCTGACACTTCTGTATAGTTGACTGGGAGATAATGCTTTTAGCATTAAGTCCGCCATATACACATATATGTACTAATAAATAAATAAATATACATACACCTCTAATTAGATAAATGATAACAAGCCTGACTGTTAACAAAACCGATTTCCCGTCATGTCACACTCGAAAGCTCAAGGCTACGCTAGATATATTTATCGTAAACCATGTTGTAATTAAAGTGGTCACTGTCCACGGAGCGCGAAGAAATAGTAGTGCAGGGCAGCGGAGCGTGCTATCAGAGTGCTATATAACGAGATAGTGTCGATAAACCGACCGGCTTACGTGATTTCCATTAAAACAAGAAAACTGACTTATGAAGTACCGTTATTATCGTAGTATAGTATACAGAGGAGACTTTGTACAAAAGTCGATTGCTTGGGTACCTCTGTCCCATTCGTGTTTCTACCTTGAAGCAGTTGTGTTTGCATGGCTGTGTTTCAGTTTGAAGGGTGGGATATGGCGTGAATTTACAGGGTACAGAGAAATGGCAACGCATGGGGGTATCATGGGCGAAACAGTATACTCTGTTATGTCCATAGTACTGCTCATGTCTATAGGCAACGGTTATCACTTTCCATCAGCTGGGCCGTCGGCTTGTTTGCCATTTTAAGCTTTATAAAAAAAGTATGCTGATTTCATATTTACACCGACTCTTTTTTATTATTCTAAATTTTGTAACAATATTTTAATGGTTAATAAGTGTAGTCACGACATAGAATAGCCCATCCCTTCCTTTTCCGTGGGTGTCGTAAGAAGCGACTAAGGTAGGGATGGGCAGCAGCGTCCCTCTTTAAACATCTCTAAAAGCCTAACTGCGATTGCCAACCCGTCTGCCAAGCATGGCAACTACTGGCAAAACTCCCCTTATGGGAAAGGCTTATGTTTAACAGTGTACAGTTAATGGCTGAAATAATAATAATAATAATAAGTCTCATAGTACGTGTATACCAAATTTCATAGTGATTCATTAAGCTGTTAAGGCACTATAAGGTAACAAACAAACTCACTTTCATATTTGTAGTATTAGTAGAATGGGATACTTCTTTCTTAATTATTGCGATCAAAAGACATATTACAGCTACATATATGTATATATAATTAAATATCTCATTTACAGAGCGCCCTAAGAATAACAGAAGATGGCTGCGGTGGTGTCCGTGTAGTTGGCGCTTCTACCCGCACTGTGAGGGGCGTAAGGGACGCCCTGGGAGCACTCCGAGCAGGAGCTTTAGCCAGAACCACTGCAGCCACCAACATGAACTCCTCCTCCTCGCGGTCACACGCCGTATTCACCCTGATGATGCGACAAAGGCGATTAGCTGCTGATCAGGACATGGTCGATCGGGATACAGAAACGGAAACCTCTGACCAGTACGAAACGCTGACAGCGAAGTTTCATTTTGTCGATTTAGCTGGCTCCGAGCGACTTAAGCGTACAGGTATGTCTCTTTTAATTAAATTATTTTATTAAATATTATATCTTTACATTATTGTCTATATCTTTAATCCTCGATAATTTATCATTGTTTTGTATTGATCCTACGCAATAATGTACGTAAATTTGGCGTGATCTTTGTGCCTACAAAATCAATTAATTAATGTGAGATCTTGATATAAAATATAGCTGGTCATCGATGGATATAAGTGACTCATCATCATCTTCCTACCCTTATCCCAATTATTATTTGGGGTCGGCGTAATATGGTTTTATCCATATTACAAAAGGATTTAGCTTATAGTTTTACGACCGGCCGCCTGCCTGACGTCAACCCGCTTTGGGAAGCTAGATGGGAAGGAAAATGGATATAAGTGACTAAATATAGAAAATGTTTATGTTCTGTGATAATAAATACCATAACATATACTATATGAGCTGTTAACTGTCCACTACTGGATAATGGCTTCCCCCTTTGGGGGATGGGGGTTGCCAGTAGTTGACACGGTTGACAGGCGAGTTGGCAACCACAGTTAGGCTTTGGTGATGTTTAAAGAGGGACGCTGCTGCTCATCCCTCGACCATTATGTTCCTTTAGTTACCTTTTACACACGGGAAACATAGGAGTAGAACATTCTATGCCGAGACCATACGGGTAATAATGAATGATAGGCTAAAATTATATTAACGTTGACTGGTAACTCGTGAAATAATTTACTGTTCAAGTAGAGAAAGTGAGTTAGTAACGGGGAACTATTGCGTTTACTATTGATTACTTAATATTATAATTTGTAAACATATCATAACATCTTTACAAACTTTCACAACTTATTTACTTAGTCAAGTGACTAAAGATTGGATTGAAATTTACACAACCCAGATGAATCATATTTTAGATTAACATAATGCAGTATTCTCTCTATTAGCGTAATGGTTGACTAGTAGGAAATAACATCAAACTCAAAAATCGTGTAATTTGGTATCTGGATAGGTTATTGTTCCGGTCAAGCGACATATCCCAGTTACGGAAATGAAGTTGCAAGTAAAAGCTGATCTCAAAGTAATTTGTTAAAGTTAATTAACATTAAGTATAGAGGAAGTTTTTTTTAATATCACGCCTAAAATGGATTGCAGGTGCGACGGGCGAACGCGCACGCGAGGGCATCTCCATAAACTGCGGACTCCTCGCCCTCGGCAACGTTATATCGGCGCTAGGCGACAAATCGAGGAAGGCGCTACACGTGCCCTACAGAGATTCCAAGTTGACCAGGCTGTTGCAGGATTCCCTGGGAGGTATGCTTGTTTTTTTTTTAATATTTACCTTGGTGATGTGATAGGTTAATACATTACCTCACCCTCCGATGGTCGAAAGTTCAATTCTTGGGCAATACAAACTATTAAATATTCATATTTCGTCTGTCTATTCATAACGAGCGGTTTTCTTGATATTTTTATACATTTATAAAAAGAAAGTAACTATTTAACTGTGTGTCCTGCACCAACGGTACAAGGTTTGTTTAGTTTAAGACTAAATACTGCTATATATATATATATATATATATATATATATATATATACCGTTAACTCAGGCGAAATTACCATTTCATTATCACCTCTTAAAAAAATATTGATAACCGAGTACCTCTTTTTTAAAAAAATGGAATTCTTATTTTTAAATATTTGAATCGTGGAATATTTTCTTATATAATAATAACTAAACGATAATCAATTTCCAGGCAACAGCAATACAGTGATGATAGCGTGCGTGTCGCCGAGCGACCGCGACTTCATGGAGACGCTGAACACGCTCAAGTACGCGAACCGGGCGCGCAACATCAAGAACAGGTGCATCGTGAACCAGGATCTCACCTCGCAGACCATCCGCGTGCTGCGCCAGGAGGTCGCCAAGCTGCAGCTCGAGCTCGCCGAGTACAAACAGGTACATACACTTGCATCAAATATTATATATATATATATATATATATATATATATATATATATATATATATATATATATATATATAGCTTTACTAATTTACTACAATTATAAAAGAGAAATGCGAAATATAGCCGTGTGGTTCCTTTCCTGTGGGTGTCGTAAAAGGCAACTAAGGAAGGGCGAGGGATATGCAGCAGCATCCCTTTTAATCCAAAGCCTAACTGCAGATGCCAATCCGCCTGCCAAGCGTGGCAACTTCTGGCAAAACCCCTCTAGAAGGACACTTATGTTCAGCAGTTGACAGTGAAAGGCTGATATGATGATGTTGATGATAAACCCGAAAGTTTATCAGGATATTTGCCTGGATAGATGTTCGGTAATCTTTCACATAAAACAACTGAACGGATTTGCATGATATTTGGTACACAGATAGATTAAATCCTAACGTACGAGTATATCATTCTTTATATACTGATACACGCGGGCGAAGCTACGGGATACAACTAGTATTATAGATTTTATACTGATTTTGTTTATTATCTATTGGCCTTAACTGCTTCACCAGTTGTTATAAAATTCGGTAAACATAGACTATTTGGATTGGAGAAGAACATAGCATATTTTATTATCCCAGTCAATCGTTGTATCACGGTCAAAATCGCGTGTAAAAACTAGTATTTTATCTACATACGTCGTAAGTTCCTTATCTTCGCCAATTCTGAACCTATTTTGATAATTCATTTATCAATCGTTAGGGTTTCCTTCTGTATTGATTTCATATTCAGTTTGCCATGACTGAAGTTGCTATTTTTTTTTTTTTGCAATGTACCAAATTATTTAAACTCGTACTTTTTACATAGGGCAAGCGCATAATATCAGAAAACGGAGAAGAGGGCTGGAGCGATGTTGTCCAAGAGAACGCGATACTCACCGGCGAGGTGGAATCTCTGCGGCGGCGCGTGAAGGCAATGCAAGGCACCATAGAGCAACTGTCCGCTAGAAACAGCGAGCTGCTGGCCGAGAAAGCGCTGGGCACGTGGGCGCCTAAGGATGGCAGTCCTGACGCTACAGACTGTTCACTCACCGCGTTGGTACAGGTAGGTGACTTTAAGCAAAGCGGCCTGCCTGATAACCCTTGGCCGATTAACAGCCCTATTGCTAGCAATATGCTCTATCAGGTCGACCTCCATGCAGTCCGCCCTGGAAACTATCGTGTTACCAACCATCGGTTAATTCTTAGTTCTTATATATCAGTGTTTTTCAAAGTGTGGGTCGCGACCTCTTAGGGGATCCCCGAACATCTACAAAGGTTCACAGAAGGTCGCGAAGCAGTGAAAAATCAACAGTTCCGTAAATACATTAATCAATCAATAATACATAATGAAGTATCTATAACAGACATCGATTACATGTCTGTTTAAGATACTTATTTATACTATAATAAATAATACATTATTTTATTTAATCGATACCTAACTGTGAATATAAATACAACTGTACGGATTTCATAATTGTACTATAATAAAATTCATACACGTTCGAAAACGTGGAGGGTAGGGGGTCGCAAGATATTTTTACATATTAAAGGGGTCGCGTCATGAAAAAGATTGAAAAACACTGATATATATCACTCGCTGGTATTCCATCAGCATATATTGATGGTGCAGGTGGTGTTACCATTCCATCATCACCCATTAAAATAAAATACAACCCCTGGAGAAAGTGTTCCAATCAGTTCAACCGTCGGGGTTACAATCAGAGTTTCCATAACTCCTTTCACCCTGTGGAAAGTCCCCGGAGATAGGGCGGAAAGCGTCGCATTATAATAATGCTAGCTTAGGCCAGTTCTGTGGGGAAGGATCAACCCGTGCAGGACCAGCCTTTGGAGCATTGCTCAGAGCACAGCTAACCCCTGGAAAATTATTTTGACTGCACCTCGACGAAGGAAAATAAATCACTGATGTGAGCTGACAGTTGCTACCGCTAGGCTGAGCCAGCTATTAAATAGTTCCAGTTTCTCCTAGCAGCAGCAGAACAGTTCTTCTGTTCGATCAAAGGTGTTTGTATTTATGTTACATGATATACATACATATTTAGTTATGATTATTACTAATCAATAAATAAACTTTATTCCAAATCATGCGCGCAATGCCACGGGACACAGCTAGTGATTATAAATGTACATTCATGCTGTCCAAGCAAATAGATTACATATATTAATTTCACTTTTAGTCTCATCACTTGACCTCCTTTAGAAAGTGAGGTGAATCCATCGCGTTACGGAGGCAAGTACACTCTGTATTGCGGTGAAAGTGGCGTCTCCAATAACGAATGTAATATAAATATTATTTAACGAATTGTACCTAAAACATGTAATCAGTGAGTTGTCATTGTAACATGTGATTGCACCATAGTCGTCATTACAGCCTTTAACTGTCCACTGCTGAACATAACATGCCTCCCCCTTAGGGGTTTTTTTTTATGGGTGAAAATGATATGGTAACCCCGCCTGCGCTAACGGGATACGCTGGCGGAGCACCAGTGAAGGGTGATCGATGAGAATGAAAACAGGCCAGTTAGCCCATCATGATGAATTCATTAGGAATTAACCATGATAGTTTTCAGGGGGAACCGCGAGGAGGTCGACCTGGTTGGGTATATTGCTAGCAATGGGATTCTCAGTCTCCATTACTAACAATTCCTTTTCCCCTTTTATTTCTTAGGGGGTTTTGCCAGTAGTAGCTATGCTTGGCAGGCAGATTGGCAACCGCAGTTAAGCTTTGGAGATGTTTTAAAAGGGACGCTGCTGCTAATCCCTCGCCCTCCCTTAGTCGCCTCTTACTACACCCACGGGAAAAGAAGGCTTGGCCTATTCTACGCCGGGACCACACGGAATTATACCTTATTAATAGCAGTTAAAGGTCGAAGGACCGTTTGTAAGGTCAAAGGCCCGACCGAGGTCGAGGGTCAGAACTTGTCGCCAAAATTATTAAAATTGAAAGGCAAATTTATGCCTCAAAATTATGTCTGTCTTTTCGCTCTATGTCCTAGTCATTTGTTTTGTTCCAAGCCGTCAGTTTTGTTTATAAAATGTCTTAGCGGCCAGTGAGAAAACTGCTCAAAGAGTCCGCAACAAGTGGATAGGCTATGATATGATCAAAATTATCTAAGGATAACTCTATATTAATTTAAACTAAGTCCTATCTTTATCTCTTCGGCTGCTAACAATCCTTACTTGTTATCAGTCATTACTAACAATCCCTTCCCCCTCCCTCTTAGTAACGGATTGTGTGTATGGGTTACTTGTGTGTGCGTGCGCAGGGCTACGTGAGCGAGATCGAGGACCTGCGCGCGCAGCTGCTGGAGGCGACGGCGCTGCAGGAGGCCAGCCGCCGCCGCGAGCTGCAGGCGCGTGCCCGCCACGACTCGCACTCGCTCGACCCGGCCAGCCTGCTCGACGACGCCAAGCGCGAGCTCTACAAGGTATTTTTTAAATGTCATTTATACATACATACACATACATACAAACATACACATACATACATAATACATACATATATAATAATAACAAATAATTCTTTATTAAAGTAACTGGAACCCGTACTTATTATATTTTACAAATTATTATAATTACAATTATAGTTGTGTTCTTTCGACATACTCGTACAACGCAACATAGTGGCTTATGTAGAAAGAATCTAGCCTACTTGCTAACATAGCCAGAACGCAGTTGGCCATATTGCTAACATGGCTAAATGCGTACTGGTAGGTTGGATATCGCGTACTACGTATCGTATTGGAGAAATATGAAGAGAGAAACGATCTATTCTGAACGCAATTTACCTATACATTTTAGACGATGTTTATAAGAGGACATCAATCCGTCCTGCTCTATTCAAAACAGTTCTGTCCTTTTCACGCACTACGTTTATTGGTTGGCGGCTCGGATCATTTTGCCATTGTCGCATTTTTAAATTGTTCTGCTCGTGCAAGATGAAGAGCTGGTTTCTTATTTCGATATATTGTCGTCATTGCCACGTAAATTTCTCCTATAAATAAGTACATTCATCAAAAAGGGGTATAATGTGACAGGAAAAGGAGCTGCTGGCGCGCAGCATGGGCGAGCTGGAGTTGCAGCGCAAGTTGGTGGCGGGCGCGGGCGAGGCGGAGGCGGACGGACAACGGCCCATCGGTGAACGCGAACGCGCCGAGGGCGAGAGCGCAGACGACTCGGACCCTTCCGACGACTAGTCCGACGACGACGACGACGACGACGACTCCGAGTCCAAGGGTATGCTCTATGCTCATTAATATATTTATTTAATATTTTTATTAAAGTAAAACCCTCAGCTAGAATATTACATAGTAAAAAAAAAAAAAACATTAAAACAAAAAGTCAAATACAGGTTTTCACAAATGAAAACCAAATTTAACTAATGGACATGGCATCGCTAATACTTACAATCAACTAAATTAAACTTAGAGTAATAAACACTATAGTAGTACATTGTAGATAAGCAGTTATGCAAAATAAAAAGTTACAATCACACGCACAAAGATGAACCATCAAAGAATAGAATTTAGAGGTATAAGATAAAGGGAACTAACATAAAAATAATTTATGGGGGGGAGGGGAGGTTGGACCCTTAAATATTATGTACACAGAGATACATCTTTGCGCATAGTTAAAGCGCTACACGTAACCTGGGGTAGGCAGCGGATAATTTTTACATGGGCACGCCCCCCTCCGCAACTCCCTCCAATACGATTATGCTTCTAGTTCGCTCAGTACTTTTAATACCAATAAATATTGTAGGACAACGCGCTCTATCAGCACAATTAGCAGCTTTAAGCGAAGATATAGACACGAAGGCGCGCTTGATCGAGCAGCTAGAAGTGTCGCAGCGACGGTTGGCGGCGCTGCGGCAACACTACGAGCAGCGACTCGATACATTGCACCACCAGATCAAAGCTACTAACGACGAGAGGGATAAAGTGCTTGCCTCGCTTAGTGAGTAATTTTTTTTTTTATTTATAACAAGGATGGTTGTCAAGTATACATATATGTGTATACTATGAAGACATATAAGGAAATTGTTTGTTTATTAAGAAATTTAATCATTGTTAATTTAGCATTGCACCTACTAGGTAAATGTGTCGCCTTATATTTTTTATATTAATTTCCTATATTTGTGTTTAGTATATAATATCATTTTTCTCAAACACGCTTGGAAATGTGAGCATTATTTTGACAATCTTCTTCGAAATAAATCACAATTGCCGTACTGGTCAGATACATGTGGGCAGCGGCCGGCAAAAGTTGTATGAAAATCCATCTGTCGTGTTTTGCGACCAGATAAATTACTATGTAAACTCATATCTGTCCTGTAATTTAAAAATGGAATGACCTTTTACTTTGAAACATGGCTACCAAGGAGATAACTAATAAAATGTTTTATTTAAATTTCGAACTGACTTGCAAATAGAAAACTGTTTATTGAAAAAAAAACAAAGGAACATTATGGCGCGTGAAAAATTATTATTGTTCGTTATTCGTCATTGAACTTAAAAAGTAAAATTGTGTTTTTGATTTCCGCGCATTGTTTGAGAAAAGTACTATACAAGCCTTGGCCACAACTAGGCATTGATGGACGAACGTGCAAATGTGGGCCGAGGCGTAGCCGAGGCACACATACGTGAGTCCATCAATGCCTCAGTTACTGGCCGCTGCAGTAATGTACTATTTATTTCTTATCTTTGTCAGTTATATCTCAGTGGAGAGTCCTCATCACCTCAATACAACCCGCAACACATACGATCAACTGATCATTAAATGAGAGTGATTGTAGTTGTTCAATTTGTGGTACTACAGTTGGCCATTACCGTTGCCGCTACAGCTTTCGTGTTATTTTTCCATTGAATATGAATAAGATAAATAGATAGATAAATAATTTATTTGCATTATTTACAGTACACAAACAGCAACAGACACAAATGCAAAGTGAAAAAAGATAAAAAAAGATACATATACAAAAAAAATAAAAAAAAAAAAACAAAAACAAAATCAGAATGCATAAAATTAGTAACAATTTTTTTTTTCTTCATGCGTGTGCCACAGTAAAACAAAATGGCCACAACTCAGCTTTTTGCTTTGCCCTAAAAAGAGCAAAACACTGATATTCTGTTGTGGCCAAAAGTGAGCCGCGAAATACCACTGAAAAAAAAAAATAATAAAAAAAAAAAGAAATATAGATAAAATACATTATGTGCGTTCGTTATATTCGCTATTTAGAAGAAGGGTAGTCAGAAGTTAATTTCTTTTTCAGTTTCAAGCACTCAAAACATAATGAATACCTAAATTATACAAGTCCAAATAATAAATTTAAAGATTTTCTACCTAAGAAACAAAACAACAAAAGAAGAAAACAGTATTTTAAAATGCTGTTCTGCTAGCGTGGTAAATAGTACGCTAATATCCTGTACATATGAAGAGAGAATGTTTGATCAAGTTTATTAAAAAAATCTTTTTTTTTTTAATATAGCTATGCAATCATCGCAACCGACCGAGAAGCTGAAGCGCGTGAAGGAAGAGTACGAACGACGTGTATCAACGATGTCGCGGGAATTAAAGCGGCTGCAAGCGGCGCAACGCGAACACGCACGCCTGCAGCGCTCGCAGCAGCACACCGCGCAGCAGTTGCAAGCGCTGCGGACCGACCTGCAGAACATGAAGCGGGACAAGGTCATTAAGCATTCTTGTTATGTATCCTGGTAACATAATACACCTCTGCAGCGTTTGCAGCGACACACCGCGCAGCAACTCCTAAACGTAGTGCCAGTCTACATTACTACGTTCTATTTTTATTTTAATAAAAAAGTATTGTATTGTATAATATTTATTGTACATAATTTACATTGGACATTAAAAATATAATAGATTTGTTGCTTTTAAAAAATCATACTTAATGTTTAATTACAGGTAAAATTGGTACAACAAATGCGACTAGAAGCCAAACGTCATGCTCAAGCAGAAGCTGCGAGAGCTAAGGAAGTAAGTATACCAGATAATGTAATAAATATATTAATTAACTCGCAAAAAATCTGGAGAAAAGTTTTAAATTTAGAACGTATCTATTTTTATTTATAAGTAATCATATTTTTTAAAATGTATAACTGGCCAGTCTCACATACATTAAAACTTTTTCTCGCAATACTTTCTGAGTGACCTGGTATGTTGACATAATAAAGCTGATATTTTTTTCTTATGATAATTTATTTCTATTTTTATAGGTAGCACAACTACGTAAGGAATCCAGAAGGAATGCTAATACAATTAGATCACTAGAAGCTGAAAAGAAACTTAAAGATCAGGTATTTGTTTATTTTTCTTTCTTTGTTTTCAATAATTATAATATTTATGTGCATATGATTACTAAATTATATTTTTAATACGTTTTCATTAGGTATTAAGGCGAAAACAAGAGGAGGTATCGCTTCTAAGACGAGGAAACCGCGACAAACTAAGTAGTCGAGCTGCGGGTAGACTGCATGGTATGTAATTTTTTTTTAATTTACTGGTTTGTATCATTATTATTTTTTTTTTATGGGACACAATTTAATGGTGTGTGATATAGTCTGCCAAGTTGGTATATCTCCCTTTATGGGGAGGGTTTACTTTCAGCAGCGGAAAGTTAACGGCTGATATGAATATATATGTTTTATTTTTTTATCACAATTTTACCTTTATATTAACCGCGATGGTTTCAAGAATGAACCTCGTAGCGATGGATCTGATAGAGTATATTTTTAGCGGTATTTGTACCTTGACTCTGATTTTTTTTTATGGATGAAAATAGAATGGTAACCCCGCCTGCGCTAACGGGATACGCTGGCGGAGCACCAATGAAGGGAGATAGATGAGAATGAAAACAGGCCAGTTAGCCCATGGTTAACTTAATTAACATGGTTTTAACTATCATGGTTAATTCATGATGAATTCATCAGGAATTAACCATGATAGTTTCCAGGGGAATCGTGAGAAGGTCGACCTGGTTGGGTATATTGCTAGCAATGGGATTCTCAGTGTCCGGTACTAATAACTAACACCAGTGCGAGGTATTGTGATGGTTGCGCAGAGAGCAGACGAGGTGCGCGCGGTGCGAGGGGCGCGCGGGCGGCGCGCGCGGCGTGGGCGCGGCTGGAGCGCTGGGTGTCGCGGTCGTGCGCGGCGCGCAGCACGCTGGGCGAGCTGGAGGCGGCGCTGGAGCGGCTGCTGCGCCAGCGCGACCGCGCGCGCGCAGACCGCGGGCCCGACGCCGACCAGCTGCGCGGCTACCTGCGCGCCGCCATCGCCGACACGCAGGCGCAGATCATGCAGATCGAGGTGATACGCGCGCGTGCACACGCATACGCGCACGCACACACACATACACACATGCGCACACATACACACACGCACGCACGCACCACGTAGGCTAATTAGTATATGATACAATAATTCGACATCATTCCTAAGTCAAATGTAACAGTTACGACTGGCTCGCATATCTATTCATGGCGATTTTTATTTTTTCCTTTAACTCGTAATACAGGTAGTGACTTTCCAACTTCTACGCAATCAATTTTTATAATGACAAAAAATACTTCTTCGCAACCACATATTGCTCATCTAATTGAAAGATCAATGTTATTGTACAAAATTAATCATTAATTTCAGTCAATAATCTTAATCCTTCATCGTCATTGAAATATTTGTACATATATTTATAGGAAGAAAACGAGGAGAGCGAACTACCGCAGTTACTGGAACAGATGGAAACCACAGAAACCGGACGGTATGCGTTAGAGCGGCTGGCAGCGCTGACGCTACAGCACGCACAGGACGCCGCTCGACACCTCAAATTGCTGCACGATACGCGAGCCATGTTGACAGAGGTGACAATACAACTCTCTCCCACATTACCTTAACTATCGACAGGAATATTCAGGAAAAAATAGTGTTCATTCATCACCAGTGTAGCTACTATCGAGTGGCATCCACTGCCACTAACAAAAAGGTTTAGCTAAATAACGGTATTTCACTTTACTCAAACCTCTACTTTGCCGTATTATTTAAATATCATCACGTTATAAATGCATAGAATTTATGACAATTCATTAACGGGATATTGAAAATCGTAACTGTTGCTGTGTTGAAAGCAGTTTTTTAACCTGGAACCGACTTACGATCAAGAAATTATTAAATAAATTATTATTTGTCACAGCTCGAGGAGAACTCAGAGCGAACCGCAAGCGCACTACGCGCGGCCGGTGGCGGAGACCAGAACCTCAATCCCTGGGGCGTGCCTGCGCACACGCTTCACGCGCTCCTGGCCAACGTCTCCTCTGGCACATCTACCCGTTGCGTGTCGCCTACCGACAGGTACTGCGTTTCCGCTCCTTCTTTATACTTCCTTGAAATGCCCACTCGTTCCATAGTGCCCATTGCGACACCTACATTAAGTATTAATCAGCATTTTGTTATAGTTTGAATAACAGTTCTTATAAATCCTACGTTCCAGTGCTCTCTTAGAACGGCTGCCTCCCAATGGCGTACGAGAAGTAAATACAGCCCCAACTTCTCCACCTGATGATATCATCAATTCACCTTTCCAACGAAATACGTATGTATTATTCCATATATTGAAAAGATGATGAATAGGATAACAAACGTCACCATAACTTTAACCGAATTCTTCACTATAAAGTAAAGCATTGCACCTACTAACGAACTTACTGGCATATATACCAATTAGTAACCCTGGTCACTGGCACCAATTGTAACAAAATGTAAAAAATAAAGCGTATGTATACAGAGTTCGGCGCGGGTCAGTGCGGCTGCGCGATCTGGGCGTGGTGCCGCGAGACGATGACCCCATGACCCAGTCGCTGGTCGAGCCCACCTCCCCGCGCCCTGCACCCCTCAGCCGCGTGCCCAGCGCGCCCGGTAGTCTAAGGTATGTATTCCCGTTTGGTCTTAAGACTGTTCATAACGACGTATGGCAACGTCGGAAAGATGTCAATATACTCGTAAATATATTTATATATATTTCTTATTAGTTATTTATAAAATTCTCTGTTTATAAAATTAAATTATATTATTAAATCGCTTTTACTTAGTAAACAAAGTAAGGTAAAGTATAGTGTTAGATACACCAACTTAAAATGCTTCCGTAATGTTGTTTTTCAAAAAATTTAATCACGTTTAAAAATGTAGGCACTTTGTTTCAATTTACATTTTACGTAGGTAGATTAACTGTAAATTGTAGAGTTGAATTTTGTACCTTTTTTAACTTGGAATAAACTTATTTTACATATTGTAAAAATATGATATAAGAAAAATAATATTCATATAAAACATTCTCATTCCGTCTCCCATAGACACACATAATACACTATATGTTTTTATGTAATTTGAAAACTGATCATCCTAATCTAATGTGTGTTCTAAATCTAAATGTGTGTTCAACTATGATAATTGCACTAGTAATTACTATTGTGTATACCGAACCAGATGTGTGGTTATTGCACAGTATTAGTAGTAACATAATCTAAGGATTTCATTTCTGCCAGTAGTTCTACGGACATGTGCTAATATTCTCTAACTGATATTTAAAAAATACTGTTTTCTTTTTTTTCTTTTATTTATATCAATATAATGAAAATTGAAATTAGAATTCCTATTCAGTTAGTTCTGTCTCCTGTAAAACTTTATCCTTATTGGTGAGAAGGTATGCGCGGTCAACCATCAAAATGCCAAAGACGTTGAACTACTGGTCGTTCCTTGTGCTGTGACGCCAGTACCGTATTGAGAATGTGAGCGTGAGGAGGTGAGTAGAGTAGAGTAGTGAGGGCAAGCGCGTGCGCAGGGGCCTGCAGCCGGCGGGGCTGGCGTCGCCGCTGGCGCCGCGCCGCGCCCCGCCCGACAGCCCGCGGCCGGCACGCCGCCCGCTGCCCGCGCCCGCCGTCGTCAAGCCCGCCTCCTTGTACGTACACACACGCACGCACCCACACGCACACCTCGTATACGCGTCGCCGACACTCGCGCGCGCCGCGAATGGATCGCGAAGGTGGTGTCAGCGTGTTAAATAAAAACTTGTATATATATCAATGGCGCCAATGTTTTGTACCTATTTTTTTTAATGTTTTCTGACATGAAAACGAAAGATTGTTCTTATTATAAACATTATGTAGTCAATTAAAGTAGTTAGTTAAAATAACATATTAACAATTGCCATAATTTTTAAAGAGGCTCGATTTATTTTATTCTAGTATACATACTATAATATATTGGATGTTAATCTAATAATGTTATTACTGACACCACTTTCCCGTATCATTGTAACATTTGCATAGATGTTTTAGTAGCATTTGTATAAATGCTGCAGTACAATTAGTTGCAAGTACAATATACGTATGTCGTATCGTTTAGATACTACATCGTCTACAGTAAATAACACGTAAGATATTTTGTGGCGTTTGTTAGAGAACATAATATAAATATTTACATATACCTGAAAATTTTAATGTTTCATACATACAAATTACAATGCAATGCCACAAATAATTTCACGTGTACATATTGCACTTTTATAATAGTATATTAATACGATATTTCTCTTATTACGAACAGCCTGTGCAATAGACAAGTAGGTACCACTAGTGCCTGAATAGTTATCTATCTCTGTCGCTCCCTTCCCTCCGAGTCGCGCCCTCTCTGTCTGCATGGTACACTGGGCTTGGGTATATGTGCTACTATTTAGTTGGTAGATGGTATGTGTATGTTTTTGTATATTTTACAAAGCTATATTCTCAGTTCATATTCTTCACTGATTCTACATCTCTCTTTAAGATACTTTTGGCTTGAGGTGATTTAAATAAGTCTGTAGGCAATGTCTATGAAAATTTAGATACTTGCAACTTTTTTACTCCTAAGTAAGATTTTTTTTGTTTTTTTTTTTTTAATGCTCTTTCGATAGATTCTTTTTGCACCATAATTGTGAATAGATTGAATATAAAAATAAATTCTTTATGTATAGCTTTGTAAATATACAAATTTGTAGTAGTCACAAAAACTTTTCAAATTAGTTGAGGTGTATTGGGATTATGTGTATATTGTCCAACGAATGAAGTTCGAGTCATACTTGTACTGTAATTAAATATCTTAAAATTCATTAACTTAAAAAAATTAAATAAAAAAAAAATTAAGTAAAGTATTATGACCGCTATGACTTGAACTTCGCCTGGCTCGGGGGTGAGGCGCGAGGGTGCACCGCTCGCGGCTCACGTGTTGTTGGTTGCAGCCTGCTGACCGACCTGTTCATAGTGGAGGATTGACGCCGGCGCCCTTCGCCCGCCTCTCTGCGCGCCCGATGTACATACTGTATTTAACGGCAACACTGCATGACCGCTTTACTCGACACGAAGAGTTACTCTAACCACGCTTGGACGCTGTAGTTCTGTGCTGTATGTAGGTGGTAATAGTATTCACTGAGTCGCGAACATATCCTCGTACTTAAAAAATAAAATTCCTTCATCGATCGATGGCCGAATCTCAAAGCCATACAAAATATATTACTGATCGCAAAAAGTCTATTTAGTAACAAAATAATTTAAAACTTTTTTTTGTATGTGTTTCGACAATAAATATTGGATTTAGGTTTTTTAATTGAGGGTTTAATTAATTAATATAATAATAAAAATCTTGGAAAAAGTTTTTTCTTTTCTTGACTTCACAAACTTAGGTACTGATTAAATTATGTTCAATAGCCAATATAATTTGTCAGCGATATTATAAATATTGGAAACTTAACAGTTATCTCTACCTCATTTCCAAAGTTTAGACTAGATGTATGTCGCGAAGTAACTAATATAAAAATAATACTTTTTATTCAATTAACTACTAAATGTGTATAAATATGCTTTTATGTTATTCAATAATCGGCAATGTACCGTGGGATTAAGGCAGCTTTGATTTATCATGTATGCAAATAGATAAAACTAATACTACAATTAATCGCCAAAGGAAAATTGTATAGCTCGTAACATTTTATAATTGTGTATTGGCGAGTTGGTGAAGTGCTCGTGGTGTCACAATGTTCGGTAACTTTAAGCTTTAACTTGACAACTGTGTATATAGGTCGACTGAATATTAAAAAGTAAAGCATGTCTAAAGATGTAGTTATATTTATTAATGAGATTTAAAGGTACATAATAAATTAATATTTACTCAAATTATTAAAAATTCAACCAATATTACAATCACATATGATAATTTGGCTTTCCATTCAACCTAACGTTGTTACTACGTAAAAAATTTAGCTCAAGCCAGAATTAAAAGTATGTAGTACAGTATATTTAGTGCCTACCATTATGTATGTATTTAGTGATGTCTCTCGCATTGTATGTTCGTTTTCGGTCGACCTCTATTTCTGTAAATATGTACCTATATACTATAATATTATGTAAAACAATAAACGTATTGTAAGCGAGCTTGTGTTTGTTTGCATCCAGCATGCTGCACCCCACCTCTGCTGTACTTAGAGCATGATAGAAAATGTAGAATGTAAGAATTATGCACTTTTATATATATAAACTAAATTGAAAATAGGTATTGTTTATTATTATATGTAATTAAGAAAGTATATGCATGCAATTTGTGATATATATTTGAATTGTCTACTTTGTACATTAAAAGATAGATATGGAATTTGAACATGTCTCTGATTATTATTTAAAAATGTTTTTTTTTTTTATTATTAATTTGAAAAATATGATAGTAAAACCATTCTTTTTATATACTGTTGTTAATTTAGTTTACTATTTGTATTGCTAGTATAATATTATCTGTGGTATAGCACTTGTGTTCCTCACACGTCACATGGTCACCAGTAAGTATTATTATTATTTATTTTGTGTGGTCACCGTTGTGTGCTTCTGCGTCATAATCATGTCATAAGTATGGACTCACGCACTGTGTCCTTTGTGTTACCACCATCGTCCATTCCTTTACTCACATTAAAACCAATCATACTGTACTTACTTCATGTGTTTAAAACTCGAGTGACATCACATTAATAGTCCTACAGAGCCCAAACTACATATAAGCGATTTCCTGTAGGTACACATATACATAGCGTGGCTATATATCCGTCATCTTTAATATCTATGTACTCACATTTGCCTAGTTTTAATAAAAACTGGTTTAAGCCGGATCGTTTTCATTTAAAATATGTGACAGTAGTTACAGTGAGTCGTACATGTGTATAGTTTAGACTCTGTATCGATACATAGTCTGAATTTACATTCCGAAACTATCATAGTTCCATGTAAGTTGAAATTAATTTCACGGAATTGTCTCAATGTTAGAACAAAAGAAATTTGTATAGAAAAGCTGCAGTACCACGGAATCATGGAGTTATCATCAGATTTAATGATAAATCGGTTAACATCAAATGTTGCTGTACTAGTTTCATGTTACATTTACGCAATAAAATTAGTTGCATGTTATAAAAAATCGTGCATAGGACGAAACTGTTTTATAAATAATGTGCAAATAATGCATGTACCAATAATTTTGTAATGTAAATTGGGTTTGACTCATGTGACTGGCATCGAATCGTACTGTGTGCTGCAACCAATCGCTTCTCGAATGTCCGAGCGAGCGTGCGGTGTGCTAACGCGGCAACTACCACAGAGACGCGGGCGCGAGTGCGGGCGCGGCCGCGGGTGCCGGTGTGTCGTTGGGGACGCCCCCCGCGTCGCCAGGGGCGGCTCGACGTGCCCGCGACGACGACGTCTTCCTGCGACTCGCCGGCGCCGGCCACGACAACTCGCCGCAAGGCATCGTTAAGGAGCTCGCGATTAAGGTACGTTTCATATCCATTTTCCAAGTACCCGCAATATAGTTTTATTTTATAACCTTCGATTTAACAAATGAGATTAAAAAGTATGCAACGTTTTAAAGCTATACAATACTTCTACGTTACTTAGCGACCCTTACAGCATACTACAACTGCAATACTCCCACCCATTTAGATATTCTGCAACTGTTATTGTAACGATGACAAACCAATGTACGGCTACAGACCACCTAGTTAATGAATAATTGTAACACCAAATTAGCGCCTTCCTACTATGAAGAAACCTACTAACAATTTATACAATTTAAGTACTTAAATTATATTTATTGCATATTTCCCATATGCTATTTTAATACCAAAATTACCCAGTAGACTGTCCATGCTTAGTCGTTTATTTTTAATGTTTTTGTAAATGAAAATGGAATGGTAACCCCGCTTTCGCTATCGGGGTACGCTGGCGGGGCACTAGTGAGAGATGATATATATATGGTATAGGTGAAGATGAAACAAGCCAGTTGGCTCATCGTGATGAATTCATCAAAAATTAATCACGATGGTTTCAAGGGAGAACCGCGTGGACGACGACCTTTTAGGGTATATTGCTAGCAATAGGTCTGTTGGATCTCATTACTAACAATCCCTGACCCTCCCGCACTTAGTCGTTAGTGCTCACTAAGGGCATTTAAAAGTCAAACTAAATTGATCTTAAACTACTATTTATATACGTTTGAAAATAAGATGCGTAACTTCTCTAGATCGTTGTTATCCATGTAGCAGCGTGTGTTTCTGTTGTGCAGCGCGTGTCTGGCGGGGCTGGCGGGGGTGTGGGCGGGGGCGGGGGCGGCGGCGGTGCGTGGCTGCAGTGCACGCACGTGGCGGAGGGCCACGCGGGCGCCGCGCTCTCACTCGCCGCCACCACGCACATGCTCTACAGCGGCGGAGTCGGTCAGTACTGACACATACATTCATTCTAATCCATATTGTTTTTACAAATGGGGTATCATGGGCGAAACAGTATACTCTGTTATGTCCATGGTACTACTCATGTCTATAGGCGACGGTTACCACTTTCCATCAGGTGGGCCGTCAGCTTGTTTGCCATTCTAAGTTGTATAAAAAAAACAACACAGGGGGCAAACGAGCATGCAGCTCGCCTAATGATAAATGACTACCGCCGCCCTTGATCACCTGCAACACCAGAGGCATTGCAGGTGTGCTGCGGGCCTTTTAAAAAGGAGTATTTATTCTCTTTTCTTGAAGGTTATTATGTCGTATAGCCATTTAAGTGTTATCGGACAGTAAACATCCAAATTTCTTTACAAATTCGATCATTACAGACTCCCAAATCTAATGTGACGTATTTTGAAAAATTTCCAAATATTATTGTTTATATTAACTATATCTTTTCAAGTTCAACTGAAAGTCTTTTTACGGTGAGAACGATACTTAGTTTAAAATCAGATTATATTGTGTGTGTTAATGATGTGCGTTTACGTTTTGATGATGAACGGATGATATGATGATGATGATGATGATGAATAAATACACCTAGTATTTGAAGCGGTTTAACTAGGGTAAATAAAAAATAAATAATTTTTAAGCGTTGATGTAATATAAATTTGATGTGATGCGCTGAAGGTTGTTTTGCAAGTAGGTTACAATTTGAAACCTGAAAGGTCATGTAAATTTCTCCTGCGTTTCGATTGGCGGTCTCGCGATGTCGTGATGAGCGACTCTTGTAATTGGTTGATGTTGTGTGTGATTTGTCTATTAATAGAATAGAGTAGAATAGAAAATCATTTATTCAAATAAACTTACATTGAAGCACTTTTGAATAGTCATTACATTTTTTTTAATCTACCGCTCGTTCGGAAAGCTGTCTCATCACAAGAAGAACGAGCAAGAAACTTGCGTGTTGCTCTTTTAAATAATTTTATTATTACTTTACATTTTTAAGTTTAAGTGTGTGAATACAAACCACCAATTAGCACTAATTCAATTAAAAACTCAAAAAGAACTATACAAATAACTTAGCAGTCGTCCATTGGCTTTACCGCTGAAAACGCTTCAATTTATGCAGGAGTGATAAATATTTATGGCATATTAATAATGCTTTAACAGTGTGATATATATTGGTATTTAACAGTAATGTATGAAATGATACATTTGCAGACCGCACGGTCCGCGGGTGGGACCTGCAAGCGGGCACGGAGGCGTGGCGCGGCTGGTGCGGCGCGGGGGTGACGGCGCTGTCGGCCGGCGAGGGCGGCGCCGCGCAGGCCGACGGCCGCCTGCTGCTGGCCGCCGCCGGCGCCGCTGTTCGTCTTTTCGACACCAGGAGCCGAACGCCGCTCACCACGCTCTGGTCAGTACGTGCTCTCGAACCACGGACACATTCGTGCAAACTATACGTAATAGTGGCCGTGTGGTCCCGGCATAGAATAAGCCACCCCTTCCTTGCTCGTATGTGTCGTATAAGACGGCTAAGGGACAGCGAGATATGGGCAGCAGCTTCCCTCTTAAAATATTTCTAAGGCTTAACTGCAGTTGTTAATCTGCTTGTCAAGTATGGCAACTACTGGCAAAAGCCCCCAAAGGCGAGGTTTATGTTTAGCACTGGGCTAATTTTTTTTATACCACTGAGGTACCGCGTTGTATGGGACCATTTAGGCTGTAAGGTATGAGGGTGAACTCCCTGTCGATGGCGAGCCATACGATGATAGAAAGTGCCCGCAGGCATCATAGGTGTGATGATAGGTAATAGTACTATTTTTATAGTATGATCACCCCATACTTCTCTCTTGATCTGACTTTACCTCTCTGTAACTACATTTTAGCGCTTCGTAAAGGAACTACGATGCGGAATTTACTTTCCCGTATGTGGAGGTTATTTCCCGCGCATTAGTTCAGTAATCATATGTTTATATAATTAGTTTTATTTTGGGTCGGTGTAGAATTGCATAGTACTCATGTCTTCGCGTCAACGGCTTCTTAAATAAATAAAAGTTAGAAGGAGCTATAATAAATATTTTTGTCATATTAGGTCATCTGGAGCGACGGGCCCGTGTCCGACGACGCGCGGCGTGGGCGGCGAGGTGGCAGTGACTGCGCTGGCGCTTGCGAACAATCACCGTCTTTACACCGCCTCTGGGGACAAACTACGCTTGTGGGACCTGCGCATGTTAGTTCACATCTCATATTATATTTTTATTTATAACAGTTTATATTTAGCCTTTTTATATTACACAAATAGTAGCATAATGTACCCATAAAAATCAGAAAAAGTAAATTTAAAAATCGTTTGAAATTGTTTGAAAATAGAATATAATTAGGGTGTAATATTTCACTTAGTGTCTGTAGATAAGCGCTTGGTTCAATTGTTAAACAGGTTAGAATGCGTGTGCAAGGTGTGGTCGGGACACGCTGCAGCAGTGATGTGCCTAGCAATAGGTCCCGCCTCCTCCGGCGATCTAGTCGCCACCGGCTCGAAGGACCATTATGTCAGGACGCTCGAGATGCAATCACAAGACTCTGGTATGATACCTTTAAATACAATCTAACAAGCAATAGATTTAAATCAATGGTACAACATTATTGGACTATTTTCAATGTTTATGCTGATAAAAAAGCGTAGTGAAGTGAACATGCGCGAGAGACTAAAGATCATTGTTGCAAAGTCGATGAGACAAAAAAAATGCTATATATTTAAAAAAATACCATGGGAAAGTTGAAAAACTATTATTGCGTAACACGTGCAATATATTGTATGATCGCAGTCGAGACAGCTATTTTCAAAGTAATAATTAGTTTACAAAAGGGCACGTATAATTCGTTTTTCGAATTCATATTTTGAATTTCGAACAGCGAATCGTTATACGTTTTATGTATAGAAATTATTACGATAGCGGCCGGTATTGATCGTACCTGTTATACACTTTGCAGGCAGTTGGGAAGCGACAGGGCGGCGCCTACTAGAGCCGCCACACTACGACGGCGTCCAAGCCCTCGCACTCACCGGCGACGCTCTCTACAGCGCCTCCCGCGACACCAGCATCAAGCGGTGGAGTCTCACCGACAACACTCTCACGCACGTCAGTATACACACATATTTACATACGTATGCATATAAAGTCTAAAAACCTTGATCTTGAGAAGTTCTTGCATTCCCTTTTTTTTTAATTAGTGCTTTAGTAATTAATCCCTCGAGCGTTTATACATTATACGCTGTACCGAACAAAATGTGGTACCGCGCACTAATGCTGCAGCGGCTGGTGCATAACTTGAATTTGCAGCGTCGTTTTCATTGAATTTATGTAGGTTATTAACTTATATAGTAGCACTATTAATGTATTTATTCATTATTACAAGTATCACATCTCCATATTTAGAAATAATAGAATTTCATCGTGCTTCCGAACAAACTGTTTATAATTACTCCTCTCCATCCAAAGGTTGCCTGGAAGAGACCGCTTTTAGCGATAAGGTCGCCCATTGTTTTCTCACTGTGATTATTTCATGTAATTGTTCATATTTATAATAAGTTTACTATTGCAATCTTTTGGAGGATACAATAAAGAGTATCTATCTATCTATCTATGTAGGTAATTGTTAGATATGTGGGTAGTATTAATCTTGTACGGGTGGCTACGTCCACCTTTATAAGATAATTATAAAGACCTTGTCTATTAAGCCAGTGTGTAACCGACCACTGTGTTCACTTGTTGCCTACCCAATACAGCAATATACCATACAATAGTAATAAACCGATTTATGTATAATCTCTAATCGTAATTTGGTAATTTCAAAAATCAATGACGCAGCGCGTGTAGCGAGCTAGTCTATAGCTGATTGAAGGGGGAGGGATTGTTAATAATGGAGACTAAGGACCCCATTGCTAGCAATATACTGAAACAGGTCGACCTCCACGTGGAAAACATCGTGCTGAATTCCAAGTGTATTCAACACGATGGACTAACTGACTTGTCTTTTCATTCTCACCTATCATCTGTCACTGGTACCCCGCCAGCGTATACCGATAGCGCAGATGGGGTTACTATTCCATCATCACTCATTAAAAAAAATCTCGAGCCAATCGTTCCACGGCTTAATGTATGTTTGGTGTTTGAATGTAACGGTACTGTAATGTTGGGGTGCAGACGGTGATGAACGCGCACAAGGGGTGGGTGACTGGCGTGTGCGTGGTGGGCGAGGGCGCGGAGGCGCGGCTGGCGAGCTGCGGCCGCGACGGCTCGCTGCGGCTGTGGGCGCCCGCGCTGCGGTCGGCCGCACCGCCCGCCGCCGCCGCGCTGCCAGACGCGCCGCACGCCCTGCGAGCGCACCCCGACCCCCGCGCCGCCACCCTCTACACCGCCGGCAAGTGAGTGCGCCCGCATCCTACCTAACTTTTTTTTTATCTCCCTTATGGGGGGGGGGGTGTTCGTGTTGAGCAGCGGAAAGTTACCGGCTGATATATGTTTTGTCTTTTGAATACAATTTTTCAGTTGTAGATTATAATTTTCTTAAATATTGTAAATAGACAGTTTTAATATACGATACGATATAGTAGCTTGTGGAATCCGTTCGTTCGTTATAATGAGAGTGTTGCAGCGGCGGCGAGGTGCGCGCGTGGCGGTTGTTCATCGAGCAGTGAGCGCCCGAGGCGAGGCGGGCGCGGCGAGCGGCGGCCGCCACCACGCAGGTGCATATCACGCCCACGCCCACGTCCACGTCCACGTCCACGCGCACGCGCACGCTGCGATCCACCCACGCCCACGCAGCGATCTACGTCCACGCTACCTCCCATCCCCCCGCCAACACAGCGTTACGCGTCCACGCATACGCAGCGTACCACGTTCACCTCCTTGTCTACGTACTTGCTATCCGCACTCCGCATCCTGTCCAATACTGCACGTGCAATTTTAGGAGGAATCCATACGTCATTTAATATCAATAATCACGTAACTATCTTCATTGTTGTAGCTGTTTCATAATTGTAACATACATTACTTCATCATTTTCATGTTAAACTGAAAATGCTTCCTAGTCCTATGCTTACTTGTAAAATAAATAAAAAAAATACATATTTAGTTTTGTATTACAATATAATTAGTCCATTTCGCATTGTACGATTAAGCTTATTTGTAAGCAAGCTTTTTGGACCTATTTTAATATAGGAACCTCTATTAATATCATAGCTTAGCTTCTACCTTACTATACTCGTATGTATGTACGCTGTGTCCGTATAAGGAGCGTCCGCGTCCGCCGCACCCTCGCCGTCGCTCACACTACACCATACAGACGTTGCTTATTACTGTACTACTGTTGCAACAGAATTTCTAAATAATTTTCAACTAATATATAAATGTCTATGAATGTCGCGATTAGTCGAATATCTCTTTACATGAAATCCATCCACGAACTTATACCTTGATGTGTCAAGCCATATCGAACCTATTGATCGTGGGGCCAAATTAAGTTGTTTACCAACAATGCTATTTGGTACATGTTCGATATAGTTCCCCTTAACTTTTTTATGGGTGAAAATGAAACTCCTGCACTATCAGTATATGTTGGTAGAGCCCATACCGATCAGTTTTATGGGAAATAACCACAATGGTTTCCATGGGGACCCTCTCAACTTATTGGCATGTTTGTAGACAAGTTCATATGTTTATAGACAAGTTGGTCAGTCAACTTCATGTAAAAATAGATCGACTTTCTTTATTTATATGCTATTTAGGATGACAAACAAACTGACGGTCCACCTGATGGAAAGTAGTAACCGTCGCCTATGGACATGAGCAGCACCATGGACATAACAGAGTATACTGTTTTCCCCTTTGTCCAGGACTCAGATATGATTCCATTATACTCTGTAAATTCACTGCCATGCCCACCTTTCAAACTGAAACACAGTCATGCAAACTCGACTGCTTCACGATAGAAACACGAATGGAACAGAGGTGCTCAAGCAAACGATTTTTGTACAAAGTCTTCAAAGGTGACTCTATTCGTGTCATTCATAGACAGTTAGGATAGCAGGCTAGTAGCTAGCTAGGCTTCTAACGTAGTGTTCTCAATGTTTAATTAATTAATCATTATATACGGCGGCTAGCTTTGTCGTTACGCATTTGTGACTAACAGTTTTGTATAAAAATTGTAACTAATTGCCATCACTTTTGTATGTTCAAACTTGTCTATTTAACTGTGTTATGCGTGACAATGTAATGTTATTTGTTATATTATGTTTTATATGCCTTTGAATAATATTTTTGCTTTCATTTATAAAAATTAGAATTAAATTTTACTGTATATTAAATTTATCAGGTTTTTATACTGTTTATGAAATGTTCTATACCATCAGTGTTCGTAAATATTTATTTATACACACGACATGCGAACCGAGACAGAATCGATATGTGTAAATTATGAATAAATAAATGTATTAAAAGATGTTATTGCACTGTCCTTCTCTTTCATATTATGTTATAAATTGTATAGTTTTTAGGGGACGTTCAAGTTTTACGTAGCGCAATTTTTGAAGATTTTTGACCCATCCTCCCCCCGTGTAATGCGTCGTAACATTTTACTGTTTCAGCATACCTAAATTTAACGTAACACCCATGTGACCATTTTAACAAAATAACTAATGAAAAGGGTTGCGAACTTTACAATTTTTTTTCAAGATTTTAATTCCCTAGTGTTTTATTTAAATAGAAAAAAAAAACAATATTACCTATCGTGTTGTTCAAATCCTCCTCCCACTCCTGTAACGCATTGTAACGTTTTCCAAGACCCTCCTCCCCCCCCCCTCCCCCCTTATATTGCGTTACGTAAGACTTTAATGTCTCCCTATATTTGTTTATATTTTTGTACGTTTACTTTTTTTAATGTTTTTTTTTTTTATAAAAACAGGTCAAATAGTCATGACTTAAACCCATTTGTGGACAAGTCATACACGATTAAATGTTTTACATTGATACGTTGTAACTCGACACGATGTTTGCAGTGACGGACGCGTACGGTGCTACCGCGTGGTGAAGACACGGTGACCATCACCGGCCGCGCCTCACCTCCGCACTACGCCACGGCGTGCCTGGAGGTGACCACGCGCCGTTAACGTGCCGCCCACATATCTCCCACGTGCCGCCAACGTGACACTTACGTGCCTCACACGTACAGTCCACGTGGCACCCACGTGCACACAACCTGGCGCCCAACGTGCAAACGATTCTTATATTTTTTCTTTCCGTATTCGCGGATGATTCTTTCAACATTAAATGGCATTCAACATTTGAGAGACATAATTATAACGAGCCTCTAATTAAGACTATATACCACGAAATGACTGCATATAATATATTGAAGGTAGACGAATTTTTGTCAGAGAACGAAATTTTTTGTCCGCGAGACTTTCCATATTGTATTGCATTATGCAGTGTAGTACTGATATATTTTGACGTACAAAAAGTAAACTGAAAATGGTTCTTAGTCAGAATAGACTTACAGACATATATGCGACAGGATATTGTTTAAGTATTAAATAAATAAACTTAGGAATAAAGTCAGTACCTAAGAATATCGTCAATAACCATCACTCAATACGAATATTATCGAGCTAATAAAATTATTTTATTTTATACAAATCTCGATATTATTAATAAATGATCTTAAAATCAAATAAAAGAAGGAAAAAAGACAATTTATAAAAGACAAGGTAGTACTACTGTGTAGTTTATATATGTAGGTGTTCAGTGAAAAATAATCATTTTTTATATATATTTTTGACAAGAACTGATAAATAAACATTCAATTAACTCCAATTATTTTTATTAGATAAGTATTTAAATGTTAATTTTATGCTATTTATATGAATTTTAATTAGGATCTTTAAATTAAATTAGTAATCAAATTATAGGATTTTAACCTCTCGTTTAAGATAATTCTAGCGTATTCTAGATTCTCATTAAACATTTATCATTCACAAGTATACTGCTAGATTTGTAACAATGGCCTTCATACAGATAATAAGGGTATAGTAATCATGAATTTATGTACGTAGTTGTAGATACAGAGTAAAATATAAAGCTAGTTAGACAGTATACGCGTCTTGGACCTGGCTTGGCGGCTTAATAATATTAATAAAATATAAATATTAACCAACAGTATGTTATATGTATATTTGATTAAAGCCAATGCCTCATTGCCAAATCGCATGCACAAATACTCAAGACTTATAACTTAGATTTAATTTGATCTAACAAAGTAAGTTTATCCTTAGAGGATGTTTAGTTGGTAGGTAAATTAATTTATCAGTTGGCAACATTCCAGAAACAAATGGCAACACAATAGGATTCAAATAGATTCTTATAAGGGTGTTGTATGTTTCCTTCTAACTGTACGGATGTCATGTGCTGTTAAGGAACATATAGATGCAGTCCCACTTTTTATCACTATCAACTAATTACAGTTATAAGGGGTTACACTACGATATGAGTATATTATAGGATCTAATGTCGGAAGTATTATATTTTGTTTAGTTCTGGTATATCGGAATTATAGATTTCATCCCGCATTTACGACTCACTAAACTGCTGAATTCTGCAGCTTTCTCCGGATGAGTGAGCATAGAAAATATACTATATGTCCTAGAAACATATTCATAGATAAAGATTTTAGCATATTCTCGATTTATTGTTATTATATTGTAATAACACCCCCCCCCCCCCCCCTCGATATAATTCACAATGAAAGATCACAGCGAGATTCTTTATCTAACAATTAATACTTCAATATGTTGCAGAGTTACGATACTGCTTTCAAAATTATAAAATATTTGACACCATTTTTGATTATTTACATACAAGATATGTCAAAAATAGTGCTCCAAATTGAGTTTTAAATCGATTTTAATCAAAATTAACCAATTAGAATAGAGCTGTCTCATCAATTATGAAGACAAACTGTGATTGAATGAATCAACTATATATTTTTGTACATTCCTGTGCTACGGGTAGATTTAACGACGTCATAATATAATCACAATTCCTAGTTATTTCAGAATTATTAATTAGTAGGTATCGAAGAAATTTTATATACAACAATTTTTAAATTATACCAATGTCCAAATATTAATATTTAGTATTAAAATAGGCTTTGAATGTAGTCGAATTTTCAGATTGTTTAATAATGAAAAAGATTTTTTTTATTTTTAAATATTTTTACATATTTTTTTATTTTCAGTATTATTACAATATTTTGTTTTATAATAAGTATACAAATATTATTTAAAGTATTATCTCTCGAAAATGTGAATTCAAGCTTAGAAGCAATATATGATCCACGTAAAGACGTATGAAACTAAGGTATAGTTTATGAGACTGTTGGGTCCATTGATCTCAAGGAACACACTGTTTCATGAACACTGTATTAGTATTTGTAGATGTAAGTTATTCACAGACGCTTGCAAGGCTATGAGTAATGCTAGGAGCTTTATTAACCATACAAAGATATATACATACATATATATATATAATAATGTTATTAAAATGTTTTATTAAGCGTGGCCATTAAAATAAAAATATTGATGTGTGAAGACACGACAACACTGTTTTTATTCTATGACCACCATCTGTGAGGAGACGGATGCCTAGTAGCTAGTCACATAATGTCACGAGTAAGTTTTAGTATTATGAGTGTGTTTTAATTTTCTTTTGTTGTACCTACACGACTTCGTATTCGTAACCGGAGCATCAGGTGGGCCGTATGCTTGGTTGCCACTATACTGACGGCATAAATGTTTAAATAGCAATAAAAGAAACTTGGTTAAATTACTTTTATTTATTAACGTACTAAATGTCTTATATTTTATCTATTGAAGGGTTTTTGCCTTTTTTTTTCTGCTATAAATTCTTAATTTGAAAAAAGAAATACTTTTAATAATTAAAATAGATTTGTAGGACGTTATAATGTTTACGAGTAAGCAAGTTAGATAACTGTTTTTTTTTTTTCTTTCAAATAGTTACCAAAAATTCTTATTGTATTCTCAAATTTAATCACCTACCGGTTACGATCGCGAAACTCGTCTCTCTGTTTACTCGTGCAGCGAAATAATCATAAACTGTGTCGGACAAACGCCTAAATTTAACGACTCAAATATCATTAACCATGTCTTAGCCAATCCTTACAGATCAAATTATCCAGGCCACGCTCAGTGGGTTCACACTGTAGGCCAAAACATGCTTAGGTTATTCGTTTTGTTAGATTTCGGCGTTGCGATCACAACTATTACAAATTATACATTTGATTCTGTTAAATAACGTATTAGTTGTTTTTTTTTTTTTTATCTTTACCAATTTATTCGTCATCGTAGTGGTATAATTGAATTACAAATTAAAATCATTATAATAATGTCGCGTTATTTGACAAGGATGTATTTGTGGGTAGAATGTAAAGAATTTATATTATATGAGATTAATCATTTATATTGTTTTCTATTTTTTTTTTAATTTAATTATGCAATTTTATTTTTTATTAGAAACGTACCTAATGTTTTATTGATTTTACTATTGAATGAACTGTTTCATTAAATACAATATATTAAACATTGTTCTTATTATTGATACGCCCCACTCCATTTGTGCTTTCCTATACTTTTCGCTTCCTACTACCATGAAATGTTTTCCGAAATTTCGAAGCCGAATGAAACACAAATTTTATGTTAAAATTACATAATAGATAGCGTTTATAGATATTTAACATGTTAAACATCATTCCTTTGGACATTTGTGTTAGAATTTATAAGGAATAAAATGTTAAGCACCATTTACTGGGCTGATTTCAGTATGAATGAAAATCGAAACTGAGTCCGAAAATTTGGAATTTAATTTCGTAGTAAACCACCTATTTTAGATATATGGCATAAGCACCCAAGTACAAATCACTCGACGCAGTAATAATAGGCTAATAGCGTCCTTTTATAAAAAAGAAGATATGTAATTTAAAAGGATCATACATTAATATATGGGTCACCGGATTGCAAATGATTTGAAATAGTTTTGATAGTTCGGTGATTAGATTTTAACTATCAGGAATCGAAATACACATAGAGAATGTTTTTTTTTTTTATTTTATGGTAAACGGTCACTGTAGCCTATGGACAACTACAACACTAGGGGTGTCACGCGCGCTGTCGACTCTGAAGAAACCTTACCTATTTTTGGAATTTAATTGTCCTGTTTGTTAAGTCACCTATAGCAATCGGGTTTCGCACACTCAAGGGCTAGTTTTGAAATATAAAATACAAATAAAAAATATCTTAGGTCATTTATTTACATTAAAGCAATTCGATGCTCCACTGCGCTTAATACTTATATTTGGCGTGTTTACTGTGTTTCCTGTGGTGGTGGCCAGGCGGCGTGGCCGGCGAGCGAGCACGACGTCTTTCCCTTTCTCTCTCACGATCTCTTTCTCTCTCCCGCTCCCGTTCTCGTTCGCGTTCCCGCGACCTCTCCCGTTCCCTATCTCTTTCTCGTGATCTTGATCTTGACCTTGACTTTCGTTCGCTGAAAATGGCCCAAACAATTTAGTTTTTGTTGCTATTGTAATATTATGAACATAGTATTTTCCTAACTCTAAATATGCGGGGGGAAAGAATTGTTAGTAATTTATTTTATTTTTGTGGTACAACAACAGATTACAAACAAAACTTTTAACAATAGAATACAACAGTAGCATTATAAATTTGCAATCCAATTATAGTTGTACTCAACATTCACAGAGATGAAAGAAAATAGGTTGATTTTTAATACAAAAAAGAATTAATGATAAAAACTAGATACAAAACAAGAATCAAAAACAAAACTACCAAACTATGCTTATAAACTATTAAGGTCATCAATGTATGTAAAGTGCTTCGATACAATGAAAATTTCTAATAGAATATGTCAATATTCGATTTACAATCGATGTCATTGTACAATTTGCACATTCAATGCGGATTATCAGTCCCATTGCTAGCAATATACACTATCAGGTCGACCTTCACGTGGAAATCATCGTGCTGAATTCTAGGTGTATTCATCACGGTGAGCTGACTGACCTACCCTTTCATCTTCACCTATCATCCCTCACTGGTGAAACCACACGTGGTTCCAGCACCACCCCTTTCTTATTCTTATCCCTTTGTCGAGGGATGGGCAGCAACGTTCCTCTAAAAATATCTCTAAAAGCCTAACTGCATTTGGCAATCCGCCTGCTAAGCGTGGCAACTATTGGCAAAACCCCCCAAGGAGAAAGCTTATGTTCAGCAGTAGAAGACTGATATGATAATGGAATATTGCCACAAATAATATTACAAGTTTTTTTTCAGTGAAAAAGTCTGGCAAACTAATAAATCTGCCAATGTATAGTGAAACAATATTGTTATATTAGATGTAATACGTACACGTATCGTCGTTTAGGAGGCGGCGACAATGACGGCTCACGAGATTTTTTTGATTTCTTCGAAGATGTTCTGCAAAGAGTAACGTTCAATATGACACAAACATTATTTCTTTAAAATATTGCAGCGAGAACCTTCAGATGTTAGAAAAGATTAAAGTTAAAAATTATTTTGTTTTACAAGCCATTTCAATATGTATGTAAATTAACGAGGCGTCAATGATGCATAAATAATGATCATGATGGATCTGTATAGTCTACTTGATATACTTAGATTATATAGATAGATAGTCTCCATACAAATGCTTCGAGAAAAACGGGTACACTTTTTCATACAATTTTGCATAATAAATAGTTATAAGTATTTCCCTTAAGGGGAAAGGGATTGTTAGTAATGGAGATTGAGAATCCCATTGCTAGCAATATACCCAACCAGGTCGACTTCCTCGCGGTTCCAGCTGGAAACTATCATGATTAATTCCAGACGAATTCATCATGATGGGCTAACTGGCCTGTTTTCATTGTCATCGATCACCCTTCACTGGTGCCCCGCCAGCGTATCCCATTAACGCAGGCGGGGTTACCATTCCATTTTCATCCAATAAAAAAAAAGTGTTACCTTTATAACTTCTATACTTATTTTGTCCTATAATTTCTGCATCTTTTTAATGCGTAAACACTCATTTTATTTATTAAATAATACGTCAAGATACAATTTATACGTTAGTATATAGAACACTGATAATAAAACGAGTCAACTAATTTCACAATTAGCTGACAAAAAGTTGACCCGTTTTTGAGGCTAGATGCTCTATCTATATATATTCCAAGCTGATATGGTACATTGTTAGTTACAAGAATTTCTAGGAAAGACCCGAATCTAGCAGAGGGATGATGTTATGGAGATGATGATTGAAACACCTATAATATAACTATGGAAAGGATCTTTAGCACTGGCACTAATAGATTTATTGCCCTAATATATATCCTATAAGGTCGACCTCCACGTAATCCCTCCTGGCAACCATCGTGTTTATATCTTAATGATTTTGTCGCCATGTGCTATACTCATTTATCATCACAGAGGTTACCATTTTTATCCCATTAAAAATAACTAAAATTTTATAGCACAAAAAATGACTTAAATTGTGGCTACTTAAAAAATAAACTACTGAATTGATTTTGATAAAAATTTTAATACATCCTTTTGGATAGAAAAAGTTTTTTTTTTCAAATTAGTTGACAACTGATGGAGTTAACAAACATAAAAAACCCGAATTGAGAACCTCCTAAATTTTGATGTCGGTTAGAAATGAAGTGAATGGCGGTACGTACGTGGAGTACGCGTCGTCGTCGGGCGAGCGGCGGCGCGGCTCGGGCGACTCGCGCGCCTCCTCCAGCGCCTCCCTCGCCTCCCTCGCCTCCCTCGCCTCGCGCGCCGCCTGCGAGTTATACGCCACTTTACCAATGTTTGCTAGCTTTAAATACATGTTATATATTGCATAATAAGAAATATATGATATATAAATATGTTATTAATTTATATATTTATTTATGTAATACGAGGGCTGCACTGAAAATTTTTAGAACTGGCTACTTGAAAGCAATATAATAAAAAAAATTGTTAAAATTTTGAAAATGGAACTCTTTGCGAATAATACTGAGTATATAATTTATTCGTTTGTCATTTCTTTTACGGTTTGGCGGCAAATTGAAAATAGTCTGTGTAACGTTATCATGAACAAGAAAATTTTCGTACGATGATTTTTTATGACTTTCGATGTCATCTAAGTCAACAAGAAAGTTATGATAGACTATGATTAGCCTTTCACGATGAAGCCCCGTCTCGTGCCACTTTTTACAACTGGTTTAATGAGTTTAAACGTGGTCGCACTAATCTCACTGATGATGTGCGTGAGGGACGGCCTTCTATGGCGACGACTGGAAATAACATCAGTGTTATGCGGCGTATGATAGAGACTGAAAAAGGGTGACCTATCAGCAAATCTAGTCAAGCTTAGGGATTGGTATGAGTCAAGTGCACAAAATCCTCCATGAACATTTGGCGGTCAGGAAGCTTTGTGCCCGGTGGATACCTCATAATTTGACCGAGGCTCAAAAACTCCGTCGTGTTGATTGGTGCCGTGAAATGCATGAAAGATTTAACGGTGGTGACTTAAATTCTGTGTTTGACATAGCTACGGGATACAAAAGCTGGATTTACTGTTATGATCCCGAAACTAAAAGACAATCAGCTCAGTGGGTGTTTCCTTCCGAGGAGTTGCCAACTAAAGTGAAGAGAGGTTGAAGCGTGGGAAAAAAGATGGTGGCGTCGTTCTTTGGAAGGACAGGTCATTACGCGACAATTGTTTTAGAGGATCGAAAAACAGTAACTACAGAGTGGTACAGTAACAATTGTTTGCCACGTGTTTTGGAAAAAGTGCGTGAGAAACGACCTCACAGTAGGATCCTCCTTCACCACGACAATGCTTCGTCGCACACCGCCAGGCAAACAATCGATTATTTGGCGACCTCAGATGTAGAACTTACTGGGTCATCCGCCTTATAGTCCCGACCTCGCACCTTACGATTTTTATTTATTCCGAAAAATAAAAGAAAACCTTCGAGGAAAACGTTTTATGGACGCCAAGGAAGCTGTGGCTACGTTTCAGAAGGCCGTCGAAGAGATTCCTAAGGACGAGTGGGCAAAGTGCTTTTTTCAGTGGTTCTATTAGATGCAGCGATTATATAGTATTGACGTGAATGGACACTATTAAAAAAAAAAATAAAGATAAAAACTTGCAAATTTAATCAGTTTTTGATTTTCTAAGGACTTTCAGTTTGACCCTCGTAATAACCGGATTGAATACGAATATTTTAATGGAAAAACTCAAATAGTTTCGGTACCATTTGTGACCCTTAATCATGAGCGAGCTTCCTCGACTAAATTATACGTAAGTTAATGTCTTCGTTATTATATTAAAATATAATGTGTACTTACGAAATTTATAATAATAAAAATTTCTTTTATTTCATAATGACGATTTTCATAAATTTTTCATATATTAAAGTTAAGAAGAGTCATATGAACAAGTTCTATTTAAAACTCGTGTTGATACTCTCTTTGTGTGTGTGTGTGTGTGTGTGCGTGTGAACATACCTTCCGTATGAGTTTACGGCGGTAGTGCTGCAGCTGCTGGTGGGTGGTAAGGCCGGGCCGCCGTGCCCGCACTCCAGCCTCCAGCTCGTCTGCGTATTTCAGCACGCGGACTTCGATCTCACGCAGCGTTTCCCGCTTCAGGGATTGCTCCTCTCTGCTCGACGTGGGAATGTGCGTTGTTAATAATGTTACAGAACGTTTAACGGGGACAATTATGATGAAATTTATTATGTATTTTTGGAGGATAAAAGAAAGGATGTAAATTTATACGATATTGGTATCGAATTTTTCAAGGCGTAAGTTTTACCTATATTTGTAACAAATACTTGGGACTCAAATGTAGGTGGTATTGAAAATCAATTAACAATATTTAAAAGCGCGAAATAGAGCACCAAAATTAAACAGTATTCTCTTCGGCGACTTACATTTATCTCAATATTATTAAAATTCGCAATTAGGGTGATTTGATCCAAAACTTAATCCTTCGAGCCGGATCACTTTGTATTTTAAGGTCGTGATTTATGATGTTTATTCTATTCTATATCTAATAGACTACCTTTCATTATTTTGTAGTAGTATTAATATTTTTATGATACTTAGTGTGGAGAACTAAACACGAGTGTGTTCATTATCACAGTAAATATGCATTTTTAGCTGCACGAGTAACGTGTCGCTGCGAGTGTGCGTGTGTCGTGCATGGTCCGGGCTACTCACGTGTCGGCGTGGAGCGCGGCGGGCGCGGCGGGCGCGGCGGGCGCGGCGGGCGCGGCGGCGGCGGGCGCGGCGGGCGGCGAGGCGGCAGGCGGCGGCGCGGGCGGCGTGCGCTGCGCCCAGTCGGCGGCCGGCTCGGGCTCCACGCTCTCCCAGCGCGACGGCACGAACGCGCCGCCGCCGCCGCCGCCTACTGCGCCGCCCTCCGCCTCCGCGTCCAGCGGCACGCCGTCAATATCCTCGTCCACTGCCGCAATGTTATTATAACATTATATTTTTTTTAATGCAATTTAGAATAGTACACGAGCTAACGATTCACCTGATGGGGAGTGCTAACCGTCATCTAACACATGAATAGCGCCATGGACATCATGAATCCGTCACAATCTATTGCGATTGATAAGGAGACATAAATACCATGCAACATAATGTTGGAAAGTTTTTAATTTTTCCTCTCCATGTAACGTGCCGTAATATTTTTCTATAGTCCCTCCTCCTCCCTAAATGTTACGTAGACCCAACTTTCTATTTTCACCTGAGATGAAGGGAAACTAGGAATTACTGCCAACTAAACAAAAGTAATATACAATACAGTCAAAGATTTCTCTGTAAAACAAAAACAGAAATGGTTGCCAGTTTGTGAGATTTTAATTCTTTATATTTTTATTTAAATAAAAAAATGTTATACAACGCATTGCTCAAATCCCCTCATAACGAATCTTAACGTATTACAACTCCCTCCCCCCAAATTAGGTAACATAACGTACTTGAACATCCCCTTGAGTACTGAATTTTCATGTATTACTATTCTTGTAGAGTAAATCCATACTAAAGTAACTTAAGATGATGTATTAAAATTGGAATAATATTATACAATTTACTATGGTCTAGTCATTATGCTTCTCCATAATCGGAATCAACTTTAATGAAGTGAACAGAATTGAGTAAAACATACCGGGCACCCCGTCGATGTCCATGTCGAGCGCGGCGCGCGCGTGCAGCGGCGCGTGTTGCGCGTGTTGCGCGGGCGGCGCGTGTTGCGCGTGGTGCGCGGACGGCGCGGGCGCGGCGTCGCGCCGGCGCTCGGCGGCCAGGCGGCGCAGCGCCGCGCCGTCCAGCGGGCCGGCGCCGCCGCCGCCGCCCTCCCACGACTCGGACGACGACGAGCGCGCCGGCGACGCCGCGCCGCCGCCCTCCGCGCCCGCGCCGCCCTCCGCCTCGCCGCCCTCCCCGCCCGCCCCGACCGCCCCGCCCTCGGCCCTCCTGTTGCTTTCCTATATACATATAAATAATTTGTACTCAAAATTTCTACATATTTCAAGAAGAAGGATGCTTAAATGAAACATTAGATATGTATTTAATTTCATAGTGATTTGTTCCTGGGCAGTAATAGATGTTCATATGTGATCTTAATCCTAATAGAACAAGTATAATCCACATGTTATGCCTGTTAATAAAGCTCTAATGTGACTTCATTTTATATATCATGCTACATAATGTACAATGATATACATATACTATCTTCACTATCTCTAAATCAACTGTAATAATTATTTTTTCTTTATTATATAAATATACTTTAGTATTTATCTTGTACTAATTTTATACTATGTGCAGTGGCATACACACTTAGGCCAAGAAAGATATTCTTAACACAATCCATTCTTCACAAGTATTCAAGCTATTGAACTCATGCAACCCGCGTATCACTGACCTCACATCATTACCATATCAACCTTTAACTGTCCACAGCTAAACATAGCCCTCTCCCCTAGAAAGGGAAGTTTTGCAGCAGTTACGTTTGACAACTGCAGTTAGCCTTTGATGATGTTTTAACAAGAATGCTGTTGCCCATCCCTTGATTATTAATTTCCCTTCATCACCTCTTAAGACACCCACGAAGAAGGACTGGGCCATCACCAACCCTTGCAACTTAAAAATCTCTAATCACTGTACCTGTACGTCTGTAATGGAGCTCACCTTATCGAGTCCAAGGAAGACATCGTTGATGTGCATGAGGAAGTCGGTGGGGTAGACGGCCCAGTCGGCCCAGGCCTGCAGGATGCGCGTGACGCGGGCGCGGAAGCCCTCCTGTTGCAGCCGCGACGGCATGCGCATGTACGCCGCGTGACACGCGCGCATTATCTCCACCAGGCGCTGCTGGAACCTGTACATAGCCAACAACATCTATATAACTAGAATAACAAAGTAGTTTATAAAATATGAGATTAATTAGTATGATTCCTGCAAAATTAACGTGTGCACTATTTCTATATTTCCTTTTATTTACTGTTAGTTATCAATTAGTTGAACATACTATATTTCATCATATATAAATTATTTTAAGATGAGTTTACATTAAGCTAGCAGACTTGTTTTGGTATTGTATTGGTGAGTAATATTAGGCTATTAAAAAATTTTAATAAAAAAATAAATAGTGTATTAAATGCGTGTATTTAGTGTGTAAATTGTAGAGATAATATAATGATATCAATTTCGAGTAATAGCTATATTACAATAGCGTAATTTTCATCATTTAAACGAGTATAAGAGTAATAATATTTTTATTTGAGTAAATTTTACTATTTATCGTGATTCTACCACTCAACAGAATGCAATTTCAGCCGAGGAGATAAGTAACAAACGGAGTTTGGCGCCAGCATAGTGCAAGATGTGTGGCGTCGGTGTGTAACGTGTAGTGTAGCGTGTGGCATGTGGCGGGCGGTGTGTAGCGTGCAGTGGACGGTGTGCAGCGTGTAATGGACGGTGTGCAGTGTGTAGTGTGTAGTGTGTAGCGTGCAGTGGACGGTGGGCGGTGTGCAGCGTGTAGCGGGCTGTGCGCAGCGTGCGGCGGGCGGCGGGCGGCGGGCGGTACTGACGCGGCGCGGTAGGCGCTGGCGTTGGTGAGCTTGGCGCCGGCGTTGTGCAGGATGTGTGGCGTCGGTGTGTAACGTGTAGTGTAGCGTGTGGCATGTGGCGGGCGGTGTGTAGCGTGTAGTGGACGGTGTGCAGCGTGTAGCGGGCTGTGCGCAGCGTGCGGCGGGCGGCGGGCGGCGGGCGGCGGGCGGTACTGACGCGGCGCGGTAGGCGCTGGCGTTGGTGAGCTTGGCGCCGGCGTTGTGCAAGATGTGTGGCGTCGGTGTGTAACGTGTAGTGTAGCGTGTGGCATGTGGCGGGCTGTGCGCAGCGTGCGGTGTGCGGCGGGCGGTACTGACGCGGCGCGGTAGGCGCTGGCGTTGGTGAGCTTGGCGCCGGCGTTGTGCAGGATGTCGGAGAGCAGGTAGAGGCGCGCGACGCGGCGCTGCGGCGCGGTGGTGGCGCCGGCCAGCGCCTCGGCCAGGCACGCCGCCACCTCGGCCGCCGCCTCCGCGTGCTCCAGGCACCACGCCATGGCCGCGCCCACCGCGCCGCGCGCCGGCGTCAGCGTGCGCACCAGCTCCTCCAGCCGGTCGCGCTGGCTGCAACACACGCACACACACACCACGGCTACACTACCACCGGACCACTCACTACCTACAATCCTCACCTACTAAACAGATGACAGATAACAAATACAGGCCAGTTAGCCCACCGTGATGAATTCCGTCGTGATGGTTCCCAAGGCGAATGGCACGAACCTGATATAGTACATTACTGCAGCGGCCAACAACTGAGGCATTGATGGACGAACGTACAAATGTGGGCCGAGGTGTAACCGAGGCACACATACATGAGTCCATCAATGCCTAGTTGTGGCCAAGGCTTGTAAAATACTTTTTTCAAACAATGCGCGGAAATCAAAAACACAATTTTACTTTTTAAGTTTAATGATGAATAACGAACAATAATATTTTTCACGCACCATAATGTTCGTTTTTTTTTCAATAAACAGCTTTCTCTTTGCAAGCCAGTTCGAAATTTAAATATAGTACATTACTGCAGCGACCAGCAACTGAGGCATTGATGAACGAACGTGCAAATGTGGACCGAGGCGTATCCGAGGCACACATACGTGAGTCCATCAATGCCTAGTTGTGGCCAAGGCTTGTATAGTACATTACTGCAGCGGCCAGCAACTGAGGCATTGATGGACGAACGTGCAAATGTGGGCCGAGGCGTAGCCGAGGCACACATACATGAGTCCATCAATACCTAGTTGTGACCAAGGCTTGTAAAATACTTTTCTCAAACAATGCGCGGAAATCAAAAACACAATTTTACTTTTTAAGTTCAATGACGAATAACGAACAATAATAATTTTTCACGCGCCAGAATGTTTCTTTGTTTTTTTCCATAAACAGCGTTCTATTTGCAAGCCAGTTCGAAATTTAAATTAAACCTTTTATTAGTTACCTCCTTGGTAGCCATGTTTCGAAATAAAAGGTCATTCCATTTTTAAATTACAGGACAGATATGAGTTTACATAGTAATTTATCTTGCCGCAAAACACGACAGATATGGATTTTCTTACAACTTTTGCCGGCCGCTGCCCGCATGTATCTGGCCAGTACGGCAATTTTGATTTATCTCGAAGAAGATTGTCAAAATAATGCTCACATTTCCAAGCATGTTTGAGAAAAAGTACTTTTCTCAAACAATGCGTGGAAATCAAAAACACATTTTTACTTTTTAAGTTCAATGATGAATAACGAACAATAATAATTTTTCACGCGCCATAATGTTCGTTTGTTTTTTTTTTTTTCAATAAACAGCTTTCTATTTGCAAGCCAGTTCGATTTAAATAAAAACTTTTATTAGTTACCTTCTTGGTAGCCATGTTTCGAAAAGGTCATTCCATTTTTAAATTACAGGACAGATATGAGTTTACATAGTAATTTATCTGGCCGCAAAACACGACAAATATGGATTTTCATACAACTTTTGCCGGCCGCTGCCCGCATGTATCTGGCCAGTACGGCAATTTTAATTTATCTCTAAGAAGATTGTCAAAATAATGCTCACATTTCCAAGCATGTTTGAGAAAACAATATTTCCTTCTCTTTTCTTTTTCCCCCTAGCACAAGACCGTTGCACCGCTCTTAAAGACATGTTATCACACCTTCAGTGGTATGCAACCAAACAGACAATGAATGACCGAAATGGTAAAAATTTATGCATTAAAATATTTTTTATTTTAATGCATAATTTTTTATAATAATGCATAATTATAATCTAGTTAAATTTGTTAAAGTTCCGAGTAGTTTGGTCAAGTTTATTTAAATAAAAACAACTCTAAACAAGTATGGCTAAATTGACCAAACCAAATTGACTAAAAAATATTCCTCCTAGAAATAAGTTCGTTGTTGTAATCCCCATTTCTTTTACTATTCCTTCTGTTCTCAATTATATACAATAAAGATTTTCAAACAAACTAATATTTTTTAGTAAAAGTTAGAGGTAATGTCACATATATGAAGAGACAGAAAGCAAAGACATCTAGATGGCTCCTACTGGTACTAACTTGTTGGAGAGCGTGCCGCGTATGTTATCCTTGGCGTCGTCCTCCTCGACCAGTTCGTCGGGCATGCCGGCCGTGTACAGATTCATCACTGGCGGCCGCCATACTGACCCGCCTGCAAACAAATATGTATGAGCTCAATCAACCAATATTTTTTTTATACCTCTGTGGTGGCAAACAAGCATACGGCCCACGTGATGGTAAGTGGTTGCCGTAGCCTATGAACACCTGCAGAAACCTCTTTACGTTTTTGCTTCACCCTGAAGAAACCTCTTTACCCCCCTTTTGAAGAACCCCATGCTGTAGTCTCTTGGGAAAACCTCGGCAGATACTTATCTAATCACGATAAGCATTTTGTTTTATTCAATTTTTTTTACAATATCTAGAATTATTCGCGTTGTCTGGAATAACAATTGATATATATTATCTTCTAATCTATTTTTTATTATAAAATTCGAAAGTATTTGACCATAGTCTCCATAACGGGATGTTAATGGCATGCTTTCACAATTAAAGTTAATTGATTCAGATGACCTAAAAAGACAATTGATTATGAGAAATACATAAATCAAAATGGATGTGTGTTTATATGTATGTGTGTATGTGTATGTATGTACGTGTATGTGTAATATACATAGACATTTATATAATTATAAAATTATTATATATAGTATTAGGTTAGTAACTGAAAAATAATGATAAGTGTAGAATAAATAAATAAACAAAAAAAAATTGTCTGGAAGCACCTGCCACAGCAAACCTCTCTCTTATGTAATTGTGACACAGTTTTTACCTCGTACATCGCCTTGTCAAAATCCCCTAAAATATGAATATTACCTTTAAACATCCTAAAGTCTTCCAACGACCACTGTTTGGGCGAGTCGCCCTGCAGCATAGAAAACAGCTTCCAGCGGTAGTACACGTGCGCCGGCGACTGATTCTCAAACAGGAACCGGAAGAACGGGTTGTTCATCTCTTTGTTCATGATGATCGCCTCGAACATCGGCCCCTCGCGAATCACGAACTCCACCATACGGTGGATTAGCATCAGAATGTTCCTGGAAGGGATAATGGTCTTTGTACAAATGTCTTCTTTAGACACAAATATAAAATCACTACTAGACGTAAACATTGTCGTTTGCATAGATTCTTCTGTCCTATTAGAGGGAAAAAGATTGCTACTACCAGATGGACCTTCGCGTGGTCCCTCTGGAAACCATCGTGGTTATTTTGTCACGTTGGGCCAACTGACCTTATATCAATCACACCTATTACTAAGGGGAAAGTTATTGCTAGCAATGGCCTATTTGCTAACAATATACCCTATCAGGTTGTCCTCTACGCGGTTCCCCCTGGAAACCATCGTGATTAAATCTTGTTGAATTCGTCACGATGAGCCAACGGACCTGCTTTCACCTTCACCCATCATTTCTCACTGGTGCCCCGCCAGTGTATACCGATAGCACAGGCGGGATACCATGCCATTTTCACCCATAAAAAACGTATTACTATTCTCTGGTGCCCGTCTGCGTACATAGGTGAGGGAGAACAAAACTGTTTAAAGAAGTGGTAAATTGCATCTGAATTTCTTACCTCTCTGTCGGTACCACGACTTTGACGATAGATTGTGATAATATCTGAAATGAATAATATATGTATTATAAGAACGTAAGAAAATTGTTTTTACATCAGCCATTAATTGTCCACTGCTGAAGAAAGGCCTCTCCCATAGATTGATTATGCTATTGGGAGATTTCGCCAGTAGTGGCCACGTTTGACAGGTAACTTACTAAAAATTGGATTTCAATAGAAGCACCATTGTGTTATAGTAAACACTCCCTCATTGCAATGTTCCCTTAGTTGCCTCTTAGAACGTCTACGGAAAAGGAAAGGGTGCCCCATTCTACGCCGGGAGCACATTTCTGTACAGTGTAAATTATCAATACATCATCAAATACCTGTTCATAAGTTTTCTGATCCTCGGGGTCGCTAGGATAATACTCTCCAGGTCGAATTCGCGGTATCTGAAAATGTAACATAGATAAAATAAATGAATGAAAAAGAAAAATAGAGTTCCTTTTTCAAACATTTCTAATAAAGATGTATAACCATTTACCAACCATCGTGATTCTAACTCTGTACAATATTAAGCTGGAAATACATTTTTTTAAGACAATTAACTTTTTAATGCCAAGAATAGTTTTGACGGCATTTTATAATTAACTAGCTGTAACTCGTGGCTTCACTAGCAGTCCACTCATTCAGTCTTGCCGTGACCACGACGTGGTACAACTCACATCAAAATGTCAGCAATAACAATCAGGTATGTAAGTACTATTTATCTGTAATCGGCTCATGTTAAGATCCGATCGTGAATTTAATCATGTATAAACAATGCGAAAATTTAAAATTAATATGCCATCTCCTCTCCTTAAGAGGGGGGGATGTAAATTTTGTTATAAAAAAAAAAACAAAAGTAGTTTATTTTCTTTATTTATTAACTATTGCGAATGACTATGAACCCGAGTATGATACCTTGTTAACGAGATGCTTAGGCGGCTGCGCATTGAAGGGCAAGCCGGAGGGCGGCGGCGGCTTACTAGGCTGCTGCAGCGCCGGCGGGATGTAGATAGGCACTGGCGGAATCACCACCGCTTTGCCCCACCCCAACTTCATTTCGTAGTTCATTATCTCTTTGCCTGCGCGCACCACCGCAATACGATACGTATTTTATTATATTGCAAGTTGATTTACGTAAATACAATTACTTTCTATGCAATTTAGAATAGTAAACAAGCGGAGCTCACCTAACGGAAATTGAAAACTGTCGTGACCAGCACCAGATATTACAAAATATATTATGACATTCATTCATGCACTGTTATTTCTGAGAAGTATGGTACGAGGCTACCATACAATTACAAGTTTAACCCTTTTAGTGCCGGGCGAAATAGAGGTGCCTATGCGAAAAAAACCGGCAGAATTTCACAGTTTTACAAGGGATAGGAAAAACGTTGTCCATAAAGAGTTCAAACAAAAAAAATTTTTTTTAATTATCATGTAATGAAATTAGATCATTTATAACACATTACAAATTTATTTTGAGATAGAGTTCTCCCGCAATGCGAGTAGTAAACCGCTACAAGGCGCGAGCCGATATATCGGCTCCCGGCACTAAAAGGGTTAATAAAAAAACATACTCATGACTGTTTCAATCTTTACGCACAACGGCCCAAATGAGAGACTAAGCGCGAATAGGAAAATAGAGACCTATTCACATTTCTGTCTCAATCTTTGATGTAACGATTCTATTAACTGTAAAGCTCTGTGGCGAATATAATATTTGACATGACCACATTTCACCGAGCATTATCAATTAAATACCACCTCCTTTTTGGAGTCTCTTTAAAATTGAAAGAGACTCCAAGAAGGCGTTAGAACAAAAGGGCAAACAAATATTATTGAGGGAAGATGATACTGGACAGATACTAGAGACCTAGACTGAACTACTCTAAGAGAGAAACAAGCATGTTCAAATCAGCAAGTTTACAGGAGTGTATGAAGTCAAAGATGTATGAAGCAATAGAGATGTTCAGCAGCACTGAGTTCTTAGTGCCTGCGCCGTGAAGGACATGTTATGAAAATATATACAAATAGTTGGCATGTACCATTGATGCACCGGAGCGCCCGCTCGCCGTCCTTGCGCGACATGAAGGCGACGAAGCCGCAGTTGCGGCCGCGCGCCTTCTCCTCGTCCGAGCGCGGCCACATAATCTTGATGCTGGCTAGCGGACCGTACCGACCAAATATCTCCATCAACTGCTGCTCTGTTATCTATAATAAAAAATATTATATTTTTATGGCAAACCTAGTAAAATTGTATAATTACTATATTACTCAAAGTACTGCTTGTTGCAAAAATTTGCCAAATTTTTTACCCGTTAAAAAAATTTTCTTTGCTGGGTGAAATTTGTGAAAACATGGTACAATCCTACTAGCTGCCCACTTTAGCTTAGCATAGATGTATTAATGAAGAAACTGAGATCAAATTTCCTATTTACAGTTTACTGTTTTCACTCTTACTCACTCACTTTTTATTAACTTACATTTTCTTAGACACACATAAAATAAAAAAAGAATGCCATATAGATGAACCCATACTGAAGTCATGCATTTATATACATTTGGCTATGGATTTTCATTTATTAACATTAAATTATAATACCTTTGGGTTCAAGTTGCCTAGATAAAGATTGGTAGTGTTGGGGTCACCAGTGTCGTAGGAGCCAATATCTGGCATCACGTCGACGACGGGCTCCACGCCCACTACGCCGCGCTCCCGCAGCACGTTCTTATACTTGTGCCGCTCGGAGCGCTCCTCTTGTATCCTGCAACAAGTCACCCGCTTCTATACTATCCTCTGGCTAATTTATACTTCATTTTTAAAAATCTACACCTTATCTGTACATAATTCCTTGAATCTTGAAGAGTTTAGAATAAGGCATTTTTTAAAATACAATATTAAAGCAATATAGCATATTAGCTATGGTTATAGTGATGTTGAATAGCCTATAACTAAGAAACAAACTATTGTATACAAAAATAATGTTTTAAGGTAGTTCCAAAAATTAGTACATTCAAATACACACTCTTCTGTTTTACTAGTATAACAACAGTGACTTACTGCCTTAGTTCCTCCTTAAAGAGTTCCAGGTTGCTCTTCTTCTTGTCCTGGCCCTTCTGCTTGGCGCGCGGCCGCACGGGCGGCTCGGGCCGCTGCGCCAGACTGCGCACCACGTCTGCCTCGCTGCCGCCGCGCTTCTCCTCCAAGCGCGATACTGGCTTGTATAGCTTCCCACGCTCTGACGTGTCCTCCTCTGAAATTAACAGATTTAATTAAAAAATTCATAATAAGTTTACTTTGCACTCTCTACTCTATCTTTTTCTTCCCCTCTTCTCTGGAATATCTGAAATGTAAATATCTCCCAAACTCTCATAATCTTAATCTTCATTCTAATAACTCACATTCGCTTCTCACATCACTTCACAAATCTGGCTTTATGTCAGAGTCTTTCACCATTCAGGCTTCATGACTCTGGAATGCACTGCCTGAAGGTATCTGAGAACTTCCAAAGAAATTCATGTTCAATAGAGTCCATGCTCACCTTATGAACTCATTATAATAATAGTAGCTAGTCATTATATTTTATATATGTAATATATATGTATATATATTATTATCATCATTAATTTTACTTATTATTTATTTTGGTCAAAATTATTTAAATAAATAAATAAATTTAAACTCATCTTCAAAATTGCGTAACCCATTTTAATGAAATACTATAAATGTGTATTATTTGTTCCAATTTGAAAGATAAAATGGATGTGGTAGATGGCAAGACTCACTTCTTATTCTTCTCTATTCAAAATAATATTTGCTGAATCATCTAATAGAAAGTTATTTTAAATCTCTAAATAAATATCTATTATTATAATATAAAAATGTGTTTAATGTCAATACTTGAATGAAATGATTGAATTAGCACCTAGGAACCTTGTTTTATATGGGAAAAAGAGAATTTTTCAGCCAGTTTTTTCTTTCATAAGAATCTTTAAACATCAATAAATATTGGAAAAAATATTTTGGAAGTGTCATTCTCAAATGCTATGCTTAGTAACAAATTTAATGATTAATGTTTATTTAAATATTATAGATACTCACTTCTAGCACCTGCATCGTAAGTTCCTGCCTTAACCCACACTTTAGAAGTAGTGCTAGGTACTTCTTGAAATGTCTCCACAAACTCTTTGAAGACCTGGAAAAAATATTATTGAAATAATAATATAAATAATGACTTTGTTTCAATTCTCTGTGTGATGCCAAAGTAGGAATAAAATTTGTCATCGCTACTTCTCAAGACATTATTGGACACCAAGTATGAGAGAAAGATAACTTGAAATAACACCCTATATCTAGTCACCTTGCCAACATTGTAATACTGGGCTAATATTAATCTTTTATGGGAAGAGGCTTAATCCCGGTTATGTTTTCAAATCAATTCACTGGTTAAACCATAAATTAAAGTAAATGAAATGTAAGTGAAATTAAAGGGTACAGAGACATGATAGTCCTCTGGTATAGCATTTCTATTCGAAGGGTACTGAGTATCATAAGTTAGTCGTGATTGTTACAGTATCTACAGGCGACGGTTATTACTTTCCCTTAGGTGGGCTGTTAGTTTATTTGGCATTCATTAAGTATCAGGTTTTCTAAGCGTAAAGAATAACGGATATAATAGGCTAAAAACAAAAATAAACAATAAACTTCCAAAGTCGGTGAATAAATTTTGTACTTACATGTGCCGCCGCTTCCTCCTCTTCCTTCTTGCGCAGCTCCTCCAACTCCTTTTTAGATAATCCTCTTGTACTCATATTTACTACAGAATATGCATGAACGGTCTAATAATTGATAGACTGTAAAAAAATATTAACATTATTCATTTACCATAAATTACATATTTAAATGTTTACTAATACGTATAGTGAACATGATTAAAGAAAAGAAATGACAGAAAAATCACAGATCAAATAATCACTGCACAGCACAGAGACACACACACAGAGCAGTTTATGTTATAAGAGTTGGCACTGGCCTTTATATTAAAAGAACTTAGAAATTTAAACGTATTTTACCCTTGCGAAGAACACAATGAAAATTATTAAAAAAAAAAATTGTAAATGAATATCCATAATGTTATACCGCTATCTGTATATGTCTCTATCCAATAAACTATATGGACAGTTGCCATAAAAAATCTATTTCATAAAGTAAAATTTTCTAAATTTTCGAAAAACATGCACAATAAAACAAATACCTACATTTAGTTTCTTTATTTTATTCTACTACAATTGTTTTTTAAAGTTGGAAGTATTGTGCCGAGTCAAACTTTATCTGAAAAAAAAATACGTATCCAATTCTATACAATATTACGTAGATATGACATGCATATAAAAGATATAATGGTGTTTTGATAAACTACATAGTAATAAATAATAATACACTATGGACATTGATTTATTTCTCTTTTATAATATTCATTGTGTTGTTACTTCGAAAAGGTAATAAGCATTTCAATTTCCAAGTTCTGTTAAATGGCGGTGTTAACTCTTGTAACGGAATAAATACTTGCCCTGTGCAAGTTGATATTAGTGACAGTTGACAGTTGAGGAACAACTCTTTTTTTATGATAGTTTTACAGCTTTGGATATTCCGTTTAGCCCATATTTAATATCAGTAGAGGAACCACAGTGATATTGATATGCTATCAAACCGTTTCGAGGACATCATAAAATAAAAAAAAACTGCCTAGGGGTTTTTTTTTCATGTTAGCCATAATATAAAAAATTAACTAGCCACACGATTGCTGAATAAAAGTATCATCACATTACATAGGTAGGGTTCATATGTAAGATTTGAATTTTAAGACCACCTGTACTTTATAGCCTCTCTAATCCAATGTTTCCCAATCTTTTTTGTGCCATGCTGTATTTGAACATTTCTAAAATTTTTATGTCCCCATACATAATTTTTCCCGACAAAGTTTACTTGTCGACTCTAATCACCCAGTTGATATTTCGGTAATGTCAAACGAAATTATACCTATTAAATACGTTTGGAAAAAGGAAACCATTCGTGACTTAGATATTTTATTTGATTCAAAATTGTCATTTACACGACATTATAGTTACTTAGTTGCAAAAGCAAATAGAACTTTGGGGTTTATCTTTAGAACAATTAGACCGTTTAAAAACTTGCAAACTATTTTGTCACTTATTACATCACTAGTTAGAAGTTCACTTGAGTACTGTTCTGTTATTTGATCTCCCTTTTATGAGAACCACATTGACAGAATAGGAGCAATTTAAAACGCTTTGTTAGATTCTTAAACACTAAGTTTGGTCTGAGAAGGAAACTTCATTCGTATGAATTAAGACTTAATCACTTTAACATTAATTCTCATATAAATAGCAGATCTATGTCTGATTTCATCACTCTCTATAAAATAATAAACTATAAATGGGACATTAGCACATTGTTGAGCCTTGTTTCATTTCGTACAGGTAATAAAAGAATACAAAAATTATTTTATATACCAATTTGTTATAATAATGTATCGTATCACAAAAATTATCCGCATGTACAAAAAATATAACAATGTATGCAAGGACCTTGATATTTTCCAACAACCCTTGCAATTTTACATTAAGGCTGCCAATTTGTTGCTTTAAATTTATAGCCGTCATTCTTTTAATGTATATAATATCGAATGTTTTGCAGAGCAGTTATTGGAGTACAAATTTAATGCTGTTTTATGTAATATTTATTTTATTAATGTATTAATTTGTAATCTTTTGCCTTGCTATAAATACATATTTACAGCATTTTTTTTTATTTACTTATTTTGTTAAATTTGGCACCGATATCTACTCGTAGCATTGCATTTACATGTCCCAGATCAAGTGTTAAAATTGCTTCGAGACCATTTTTAATTGCCCCCCCCCCCCCACCCTTAATTATCAAATTGTCCCCCTGTGGGGCGTGGGCTCCACGTTGGGAGACATCGCTCTAATCCGTTTGTTTGAATAATGTTGTTTTGAATATTAGTCACATGTTTCTTATAAGTTCTTATTTCATTTCCTATTTCGATTCAATAATATTTTTTAATAATTTTTATTGCACTAAAATATACAGTAATAGTAACGATTAGCGTAAATACGTTAGCAAAGGTGGACTTATCTCTATAAGAGGTCTCTTCTAGTCAACCTAAGTAGTACCACAGTAACATAAGTAGTGAATGGTCATTAGTAGTTATTTACCAAAGGAATAATTATGAATCATTTATACTCTTCTTTATTATTCCTCACAATTCACTATAATACGATAGTACTTCACAGAAACAACACATAGGGAATAAATTAAAAGGCAGTTCAATTTTGATTACATATTTATTGAAAAAGTATACATCAAAAAGATTTCGATGTAAAATTAAATAAAAGTATGTGCGAATTTTCTTTTTTATTTTTTTTAACTTTCTGCGTAAGATCTCGTAAAACTTGAGTGGCTGCAAAAACATTTCTCTTAATGCGGCTACAATACTTAGTTCATCACATGTTTAGATAAAGAATAAATACTAAATAAGAGGGTTGGTTTACAGCCAAGTGGTATCCAAAACGTTTATTAATAAAGTGTGCATGTAAAATAAAAACAGGAATAAAACAAGGTAGCCTCTGAAAACTATATTATATATTAAATTGGCTAATTGTACTTAGATCATCGCCAAAATAGGCCATAATAAATATACCTATTGGCTGTAAATTCAGTTTCGTCTTTTATTTTGTTCTTAATTGCATTATTACAAATTGTTTATTTCCATTTAATACTTACCTTACAATACATAAATAATACAACTTCATAGAAACAAAAACAAATATTTAGGATAATGCATTGTAAAATTAGTATATATGCATTAAAATTACCTCGGTACAAATAACAAGCTCACATAAAAATATATAGGTATTAAGTATTACATATAAAACTTGGTACAGTTTGCAGCAAACAACTTGAAAAAAAAAAAAAAAACCATAAACAATGAAGTTTGCACAGCAGACGCTTTTGTATGTAAAACTGTTACGGCATAATTAAAATTATGATCAAGCTATTCGCCGGTATTGATAATTATATCTATTTAATTTCCAAATTCATGAGCAAATATGGAATACACCAACAACAATATAATAATTACCATGAATGTTAACAGTTCATAAGTATTTGTATATGTACAGATTATCTTTAATAATATTATCACAAAGTACTAAATGAGTTGTGCACATTCCTGTTTCAGTCTATACTGCCTAAAAACGTGATAATTGTCTATGGCTCGTTGCTTACACCGAGGTGTTAAAATTAAAATACTTTTGTGCATTATAAAGCTTAATATACAAGTAAACATGCCACATAATTTACACACCTATGTATTTACTGTACAACAAAACAAATGTACATTGTCACAGAGTAGTTATCATAAGACATGTGTACTGGCCCTTAGCTGCCGAGTGTGGCAGCCAGCACGACGACGGACTCAATAAAACACATAACAAATCGATAGTATTAAAGGCTTAATATACTCAACATATTTATATAAACATCACATTTACAACCGCCTTACAAATTGTGATGTTGAATTGTTTTTAAGGGTTGTTTCATAGTAGCATTTCTAGACCTGGCATCTTTAATGTATAAATTACAAGGCTAGTATGAACAAACCCCAAATTTTATAAAATATACAATTAAAAATTAATGTAAGATTAATATGATACTTGTGTATGTAGTATGAAACAAGTCATCATTTCTGGAGGAATGTGTGTACTGTGTGAAAGCTGTTACTCACACTACTGATCTTGGCAAAAACAGGATCAGATTGTGATGATGTATATTGAATATTATCCCTAGAAAGTGACAGTATCAAAGACTACCTACTCAGTATTGTCATAGGCACAGACAGAACAAAAAGATGTGTTTATAAACGCTTAAATGATATGAAAAAAAAACTTGCATTTTTATCTATCGTTTTTTTTTTAATATGTAACGAGTTAATCATTACATATTTAAGAGCCGTTTAAGATTCGATAAAATTGTGGCTAGAACTGAATGTAAAACCTAAACAAGACTTAGTTATCAAATTTACTGTTGGTCTTGTTCACATATTTAATTAGTAATTAATTTTATTGAGTTTGCGGTGCGTGCCGCGCGTTTAGGTGCCCATTCACCATAAGAAGTATAGAAAATAGAATTTCTCTGGCAAATTTTTTAAACTAAGTAACTTATGATAATCTAATGAAGATATGTGTAATAAGCATATACACAGAGTAGTTAATTAACTTGCGGTATTAAACTAAGACCAGACAACATCGCTTCCACGCATTGGCCGAACTCATTAGTAAATTAGTATTTAATTTTGTAAAGATATAGAATACGATGAATAAATCATTACGAGATAGTTCCGACGCGCGGGGCGGCACACTGTCAACATATAATAAAATTTTATAATGTTTCACGATATTATAATTCATCTAGAGAATTGTTTTAAATTCAGTTTCGAAGGCCACAGGCGGAGAATATTCTAGACCCCGTGTGTGAACGACCGCGAGCCTACCGCCACTAATATAATAATGGTACAGTTACTACACTAACATGGTACAATAATTTGACAAACGTTGACAAATATATACAGAGCATATTGGACCGACTGTATAAAAGGAATTATATGCTCTCCATCCTCAAACTACGTAGATTTATACAAAATATATTGTGGTGATTAGTCGAAAACGTTACAGCATCAAATACAATTCATAAACGAATTCACTTTCACATTTATAAAAATATAAAAAGTGAACGCGCTTAATAATTTTAATAAAATGTAGTTACGTCACAATTATTTATAAATTTAAAAAAATAATTTAACATTCTTTATTGTTTCTGATTGATTATTTAAAAAGTGCTAAAACGTTATTTACAGAATATATTGCTTATAAATAATAATAAAACACTAAAAATTTTGCAACTACTTCGTCTTCTGCTTTGGAATTTTTCAAATATCCTTTTGTCATCAAAATTCCAATTTTCAGTGACCATTTAGTAAGTATATTATTGAATGATTAACGTTTTAGTTCACTATCATTTTAAATAATCAAATAGAAACATTAATAATTATTAAATTATTTAAAAAAAATGAGCACTTAATTGAGACATTGCTGCACTTCGTCAAGCTAATTTTGTAAACGGATTTCGACTATATTCTTTGGGGGAAATAGTTCAATTTCATAAATAGGTGGGTTTCGAACTAATTACCCCATTCCATCATATATTTTATATAATACCTCATTTACGGTACGGGAACAGTTCGTCAAGTTAAACCAATGCTAGTGTAGTGAATAATATTTTCCAACATCAACAATATTGAATTACATACGTACACCGCTACCGTCATTATTAATATTACAGAATTACAAAAGAAAAAAGACACCATTAATTTACTAAATGCATGCTTTCGGCCATATTGTACTATCTATTTATAGGAAACGATACTCAATATTGGAAATGTGATATCTACAAAACTAAATTGACAGAAATAATATTGTACTTGAACAATTTGATTAATACATTACTATTAAAATAAATTTTGAAGTACAATACACATTGAATATAATATAAAATTCTGTATTATATTTCTGTTAGTGCTTCTCATGATTAACGGAACTGTCCGTTCGGTCGGACTCTAAAATTGTAATAATTTTATAAATTTTTTTATAACTATATATAAGGTCTATTGCGGACCGGACATTTCCGTTAAATGTGAACGAAGCATAACAATATTGTGAATAGTCAAATCCTCCAATATATATAATGTACAAGAATCGTTCATTCATTGGACAGAATGTCTTATTGGTTAAAGTTTGTTCACTATCACACATCGAGCTATAAGACCTTCCTATGTTCCATTCATCGCAGTACCAATCTCTAATTACGAAAGTATCTATGCAGTAACAAAAAACGATAAATATGAAGACTTTTTTACTGAAATTATACTGTGGTGTTTGGTGACAGTACTAGAATTTAATCTATTTGTTCAACAACCAAGATTCTATATTCAAAAACATCGAAGACACTTTGAAGTCCATCACTCGGTCTATTGTTAATATGTATAAATCAGCATAATAGAAGACATATTTTATCACAAAACAACGATCCACTCGCCTTTTATCGGCGTTTACTGTGATAATAGTTCTCCGGGATGTCTCGTGTGCTCGATCCAACCTAACAGTACTGATATACCACTGAACTATAATAATTCGTATCCACACGTACGTACGTACACACATTAAGGTCTTGCGATTTTTAACCCGTATAAAATTTCATATTTCACAAATTCTACCATTATATAGCGTAAAGAGACGCGTCGCGTATATATCCCCGTGTCAGAAATTGGTGGTGGTCGACAGGGGCAGTCGAGGGCCGGCGGGGGCAGGTCAACAGGGGCAGTGAGCGACGGCGGGGGCGGTGGGGTCAGCGGGGGCAGAATCGCTCAGGCGTCAGTCTCGCCGCCTTTGAGCCGCAGCCGCGCGAAGTCCTCGAATATTATATCGTCGTCTTGCTCTTGCCCATTCTCGTCCCTGTGAAGAGTTATGAAATTGATGTTACGAATCAATACATTTGATATACATATCTCACAAAAGGAAGTCTAATCACGACTGGCATTATTTATTTATTTGTTTATAACATTGATTTGGCTTTTGCGGTCATAATGTTATAATTATTTTTAATGAATAAATAATTATTATATATCTTAATATAAATCTGGCATTACAATAAATACGCATTTTCATAATATCAAATACTGTTTGACATATCTGTAAATGTTTAATCTCATTCAAAACTTTTATCACTGTGATCAACGGAAATTTGCTCAACGGTCGGTCAACTATCAGACTGCGTAGTCTGGCTGTTGACGGATAGTGTTGCGGATTTCTTTATTCTAAGTTGAATTGTCTCTTAACGAGACTCGAAGTAAAATTGGAGGAATGTGATTTGAACGTGTAATATGTAAAATTATTGATTTATTGGTGAATTGTTCTTATAATAAAATAAAGTTTTTTTTTTTTTTTAAATCTCTTATGTAGTCCTATTACTGAATGTTGGTAAGGAAGGTGCTGTAAGTTATAATGGATGTGCATTGTGCACTCACGGATGCGGGTCGAGCTGTATGAGGTCGTGGTCGACGCGCGGCGGCTCGGGCAGCGGCCGCGCCGGCTCCTCCTCCGGCTTCGGGTGCATCAGGATGAACGGCAGCTCCGCGCTCAGGTCCCTGCCACACAAACAATCAATCATTTATTTGCATAAATATAAGTTGAATGTTGTAGAAGTATAGTGCGTTATGTTTCACCATCACATGGTATACAAATTAGTAATTATATGAAACATTAATTAAAATAATAATTATTATTACTTTATAAAATACAATTGCATTGCACAAACAAAGATAACAATTATTCAGTACGCAATTAAATATACACTAGAGGAAAAAATTAAGGGATCAAAAAAAAATGACAAATTTTTTGAGGTTTTTCAAGTAGCTGTATTTCCCTTAAAAATAATCGTTTAAATTAAAAAAAAAAGGATAAAAATCCATTTTTTAAATTCCAGTACAAACGTTTTTGTCAATAAAAATGCATAAAAAAAAACTGAAAAACGTTTGCAATTTTTTTTTGATCCCTTAATTTTTTCCTCGAGTGTACAATATCATAAGTATTTAATTTTATATTACAATAATTAACATATATACCGTAGTATTGAAATTTGAGTGTGCATATTATGTTAATATTTTAATTATTTATCATTCAGAACCACGACCCACTCATTTCACGTCAAAGGTCTTTTTTATACAACCTAGAATGACAAACAAACTAATGACCCACATGATAGTAAGTGGTAGAAGAGATTGTTAGCAATACTACCCAGTCTCATTGCTAACAATATACGTGACTAATTTATCGTTGAATTTGTTACGAGCTATTATGGGCTAACTAGCCTGCCTTTCTATCCTCACCAATCATCCCTCACTGGTGCCCTGCCAGCGTATACCGATAGCGCAGGCGGAGTGTCCACTCCATCATAACTCATTAAAAAAATGTCTATAGACATGAACAGCATCATGCATATTATGATAGAACACACTGTAATGCCTGTGGTTCCTCCTCATGAGTTGTCATTTCTCTTATGACAAATACACATGAGTTTTATATTGAAACTTACCCGCCAAGAGGTCCGAGACACAGTTTCACCTTGACTTTGTATTGTACTATGATACCTAGGTTTTCACGCTGCGTTGCATCTGCAATTCTGTAAAAAAAAATTGTTTTTCTTAAACAGCAGTAGAAATTATAATACTATAGTAGTTTGGCCACTTTGGCCCTCACTCAATTGTTGTAATCGTTTAAAAAAAAAGTTTCCGCTTTTGATATCGTTGGTCAAAGACGCTTAGTCACTTGTAAATATTAAAGTATTAAGAGCCATCGTGCCACACATAGTATGTATTATATGATGATTTCTAATATGTAGCAGTCAAACTAAAATATGTATGAAGTGCAATAAGGCGACCCTATTTCAAGCATTACACCTATTTTAAGTTAAAATATTGTAAAAGTAATCCTTCGACATTTATTAAACAAATATTCTATGTAAAAAAATAAGTAATAATAAACAATAAATTTGACACGTTGTTGTTTCGAAAAAAATAATAAGATTTTTGCAATTAATAAATTGTTAATATGAATTGATTGATGAATGTGAAGGAAATGAATAGATCTGTATGAATAGGAACATTTAAGGGTCAATTTCTTAAAATAAGTATTACTAAATAGGGTCCAAAAATAATTTCTTTTCTTGAAATGAAATATACATTACCAATAAATAAAAAAATAACTATACTACATTTAGTGCCTTTGGTACAGATACAAATCTTTTTTTTTTAAATATTAATTTATTAATTAACTTAAACAAATTATGCAACGATACATAGGCATGTGGCCCCAGAATAGAATAGCCAACACTTTTCTTCCTTTGAGTGTCGCAAGAGGAAACTAAAGAAATTCCTTTTTTATTTTTAACTGCGTTTGCCAACCCGCCCTAGCCAAGCGTGGCAATTACTGGCAAAACCCTCCAAAGGGGAGGCCTATGTTCAGCAGTGGACGATAAACGGCTAATATAATGAAGATGCAATAGTACTAACAGCGTGCTGGAAGCGAGGTTGGTGTCCTCGTGTTTGAGCTGGCCGTCGAGCGCGAGCCCCCACTTGTCCTTGTTGTTGGCGAGCAGCGGCGTCAGCGTGAACACCTTGCTCAGCGTGAACCCGGGGCCCACGGGACACCCTTCTCTGTAACACATTATTATGATACTTAGAATGACAATCAAGCAGACGGTTCTCATGAAGGTAAATGGTAACCGTCGTCTATGTACATGAACAGCACGCGTGGATATCACAGAAATACTGTGACACGACTCACTCATTGTAAATGATAACATTTCACCTGTCGGTAGACTTGCCATTCGGTGGTGATTTCTGTGAATAATTTAATTAAATAGGATAAAATGGAAGATATAGGCATTCTATTCTTTAAATGGAGTATTCCATCAAAGAAACTGAAAATTTTTTCTCAAAAAAACAATTCCAAAAAAAAAACAAAAAGTATCAAACCTCCCATAGTAACTACGTAATGACGGAGTTTTCATTCTTTGTTATTTTTCGATCCAAAAATTATAATATTCTTTAGAAAAACTGTTCAATTTTACTGATAGAATACCCCCAATTTAAATTGACGTTATTGTTTTTATATCACTCTGTGTACTTACAACTGAAGTTAAAATGTCCAACTGTGTTGTTCAACTTCAGTATGAACGAAACGGATATAAATTACTAAATACCTTATTAGCTCAAACAATAAGTTTTCTCAAAGAAAATTAATAACAAAACAATCTGAAAGGAAACTCACTCACTCGCAATTGAAAATCGATGACAATCTGAATTGATAAAATAATTGGTAAAAAACAAGGCTACCGAACTCATAGAGTGTTACGCAGAACTCCGATAGAAAATGTAATTAGGCAGGATTCAGTCTTAGGGAAAGGAAGCCAGGCAATTGCTTAGAGCAGCAAAAATGAAGGGTGGCAAAATAACACTGCTCGAGGCCGCTGAGGGCTAAAAATATACTCGATTCGTCGTGATTTAATACGAGTATTTTGACGTATAACATGGAATTTCTTTGCATGTTAACCATGTGGTATGCATATGATATACTCATAAGGTGTCATTGTCACAAATAGCAAATATTCTTTACCTGGAGCGGCAAAATGTCTATATCGCGATTTGTGGTTGTGATAATCATACAAAACTTTGATTTCATGTATTCTCAAATAAATCCTGTTCAAATTCGATTTCGATTCGGGTTCGATTCCTAGAGTTAAAATTTAGAGAAGCTCCGAGTTCTTATCCTTATAATAATACTGTTTATTAGAACGAAAATGGCCGACTAACATGAACGGTGAAATATATAAAAAAAAAAATATCGAATATTAAGAGATATGACATTTTTTAACCTTAGGGAAATCTATATTTTGTACCTATTAAAAACAGTGCTACATAGTATGAAACTGTATATGTGTTAGTAATATCATAATAAATATCAAAACACACCGTTATAATTTTAATGTTCAGTATAAAATATACATAATTATAGTGTAATAGAAAGAGTAAGTATTATTAACCAAAATTCAGAGACAATAGTTAACTGAACATCATTTTCCAAAAAACAAGGATCAAAATAAGAAAATATTTTTTGAAGTTTTCATACAATCCGCGTGGTCACGTGATCTATTTATAATAAAAGATTCTGTTTTAAAAAGAGTTCTATTTGCTATTATATATACTAACAGAGAAATGAGAGAGATATTATATGTGGAGGTATTACAATCAAAACTCAGTACATTATTGATTGTTTAGCGATAAGGCTGCCTTTTGTATTACTTCTCATTAAAATTAACTGTATTTATTATTATTAATTGGTGCAATAAAGCGTACATAAATATTTTCATATTTTGAACTAAGTTCCTCAGAAAATGTTGAACATTTTCATGAATATTTTTAGGTTCACTGGCTTTCGGACAATTGTACTTTTCCCATGACAACCTGTATATGCATGCAAGCACACGCAAACATTTACTTACAGAGCTTCTACGCTTAAATTCTTACTGAACATCCGAAAAAAGGGCAATCTAAATAATTTCTTCACCTTCGACTTGTGTTCCCTGGATCAGAAACATTTTGTCAAACTGGGGCTCGCGCCTTCATGTCTGCGTGTGTCTATATATCAGTATGAGATGTAAATATACAATACACATTAATTTATAATTTAATTTAATAATATTTTTAATATATTAAAACAATAAAATATATACCACATATTTATGATAATACACACATTTTGGAATTATTATTGTCATACATATTTACTTATATACATACACATAAAAAATAAATATGAAAATGTAAATAATGAACAAAGAACATTATGTGAGTTGACATAATTGAAGTCATGTACTAAGTTAATAACAACGCATCATGAATTCAAAAAATTTATTGGGTTATTACCACGATTGGGTAAAAATTAACGTTGAGGATTGCGACTGAAGATACGAGGAATATGGCGTTAGCTAAAGGGCCATAAGGGTTATGATGTGGGCTTATCAAATGTTACGTACGTACAAATGCGAGTAATTAACGGTATAGGCTAATCACATCTTTTTTGAGAATGTTGCTTAGTAGGGGGGCATTATTAGCTTGTTATGACGCTAGTATGATAATAATCGTGGTACTGACTCGCTCTCGGCCTCCGCGACGGTGCACTTGTACTGCGCGGTGGAGAACAGGCATATGTCGGCGAATTGCCGCACCGACACCTTGATCCGCTTCACCGACCGGTTCGAGTTGTTTGCGATGTGCACATTCACAGCTATGTTCTCGCCGTGGTGGTACAGCTCCTAAGGGAGTGTAAATAAAGAACAATGAGAAGCTTGAAACATTTAAATGTTTATATCATCATCATATCAGCTTATATATATATATATATATATATATATATATATATATATATATATATATATATATATATATATATGTAAAAATATTCAATTTAACCCTAAAGTTTTAAACAATTTATAAACCATAGTCACCTTATCAAGGGATGCTTCTAAGTATAACTTGTTGGGACTCATCATGAACTCCTTGGAGACTTCAACGGACGGCTGTTCGCCTTGCTTGCTCGGCGCGTACATTATCTTCCTGATGGCTAATCGTACCGAATTTCTGGAAATTGACAATTTTAATGTTATATGAAAAAAAAAAATGAGAAGACTTAAACCGTATCTCTACCGCAATATCGGTCTTGGTTCGTTCTGGGTCCGCTCTCGGTATGATCAATATAAACAGTTCGAGATAGATCGTGACTCGAACGGAACAGGACTGGATTTTAATGTAAATATTCACATTGTTTTTTAAGTAATATTTGACTAGACCGAGAGCGGACCGACAGCGGACTGAGAATGAACAGAGTCGGTAATATAGTGTGAATTCGGTTTGTAAGAGTTACGAATATAACTGTATATATATTGGGGGGAAAGGGATTGTTAGTAATGGAGACTGAGAATCCCATTGCTAGCAATATACCCAACCAGGTCGACCTCCTCACGGTTCTCTCCGGAAACTATCATGGTTAATTCTTGATGAATTCATCATGATGGGCTAACTGGTCTGTTTTCATTCTCACCTATCACCCTTCACTGGTGCTCCGCCAGCGTATCCCGTTAGCGCAGGCGGGGTTACCATACCATTTTCACCCATAAGAAAAAAAAAACTGTATATATATTATATAACTACAATCAGTATTTGAAATTTAGAAAATTCTAAGGTTACACATATTTCCACTAATAAATGTAATACAAACGTGTAAACCTAAACCATTATTAAATTAAACGATTTTAAAATTGAGGACGAAAGCTGTCTTCATAATGGATAAAATAGATGGCTATAAATTAAGGTGATCACTTCACCTATTCCGTGTGCACATTTCTTTCCATAGTCAATGTATATTACATATATATATACATGGGCAACCATAAAGTAGTTTGCTTGGGCACCTCTGTTCCATTCGTGTTTCTACTGTGAAGCAGTTGTTTTTTATGCAATCTAGAATGGTAAACAAGTTGTGTTTGCATGGCTGTGTTTCGGTTTGAAGGGTGGTATATGGCAGTGAATTTACAGATTACAGAGGAATAACACCTGAGTCCTCAGGAATGGCAACGCATGGGGGAGTATCATGGGCAAAACAGTATACTCTGTTATGTCTATGGTGCTGCTCATGTCTATAAGCGAGGGTTACCACTTTACATCAGGTGGGCCGTCAGCATGTTTACCATTCGAAGTTGCATAAAAAATGGCAACCAATGTCTATACTTACCAGACTTATTTTTTAATGAATGAAAATGAAATAGTGATCCCGCTTATGCTATCTATGTATACTAGCAGAGTATCAGTGAATAATGATAGGTGATGATGAAAAGCAGGTCAGTTCACGCATCATCACCAATTCAACAATCATTAATCACGATGGTTTCCAGGAAGACCCGCAGGCAGTTATTACTCTAACTAATTGTTAGTTACCCTTTCCTTCGTCACAATACCTATTAGGTAGCATTGTCATGGGCGGTAAATATAATATTTGCCCGGAACGGCGAAATACTTAGATCGGGTCCTGTTTCCTTATTCTTTAAAGTATATTAAAATACAAGTATCACCCCACCTCTTGTGCGGCTTATCGTCCTGTGAGTCGGCGACGAACGCCTTGAGCTCGTAGTCGACGCCGCACGGCTTGCCGGTGTCGCCGGGCGCCGGCTGCAGCGTGACCGAGGCGGGGCAGTGCGGCGGCAGCTCGAAGTAGAACGGGTGCGCGGCCGGGCCCAGCTTGCGCACCAGCCGCTCCTGCAGCCGCGTCAGCGGCCGTCGTGCCGCGCCTCCACCACCCACCACCGGGTAGATCTGACGCCCGTGTACACATTATATTAACACCCTTATAAAATACTTTTTCGTCGTAAATTGACGTTAAGGTGAATTTACAAATCACCATGTGATTATTACTATTACGAAGTACCGGTCTTAGAAAGGAACGGTCCACAGTAAATTTTTTTAGTTATCAAGAATGGGTGAGAGTGGCGTCATCAAAACTTAGCTCAGACTAAGTTTGACTCTAACCATGCATTTCTACTGCCATATCTTGTAAGCACAACCGTTTGGCAGAAAGCAGAAACACAGAATTGAAAAGAGATATATGGATGGAGAAAAGACACAAGATCCTTAATCTATTTAAATAATATAGTATATAGTATGAAGAATAAAATAATAAAACTTAGTAAAAAGGTAAACAATTTTTTTTGAAATTATAACATAAACACTAAATGAAATTAGTATTACATCAAAATTTCAATCAAATAAATACATTCAATTAAAATTCATCAGTACACGTTCTTATGGTCGATATAGAAACAAATTCTAGTTTACCGTGTTAGCGGTTACCTGTTCGGCGGCCAGGTACAGATCCTTGCGGAAGGTGAGCCCCAGCACGTCGAGGTCCTCGCGACCGTAACGGAACGCGGCGAGCACGTGGCCGAACACCTTGCGGTCTTTCACGTACTCGGGGTCGATCAGGACCACCCCGTCTGGAAATAGCAGTTTTTTACAGGATATAAATAATAAATAAAGACTAATAGAAATAGTACACAATGTCCTTTAGTCCTAAATTAGCAAAGCTGGGATAAAGGGATTGTTAGTAATGAGGTCAAAAAGCCCCACTACTAGCAATGTACTCTGCTAACTGTGGTTGCCATCCCGCCTGCAAAGCGTGGCAACTACTGGTAAAACTCTCCTTATGGGCAAGGCTTATGTCCAATAGTGGACAGTTAATGGCTGAAATATAATGTTTGTTCCGGCACAAAAATACGACCTTGAATGTGATTTTCATAGTTGTATTCCCGAAGGTTTTTTTTACCACTCAGTGTTAAATAAGTATACGACCCACCTGATGGTAAGCGGTTACCGTAGTCTATAAACGCCTGCAATACTAAGGGCATTACGTTGAGCACTCTGAAGAAACCTATTTACCCCATTTATTAAGAAATCCATGCTGTAGTCTGTTAGAAAAACCTAGACAGAGAGCCCATTCCATAACCTAAGTATTGGAGGTAGGAAGCATCTCTGAAATCGCTCTGTATGCGACCATTCACGCAGTAAGGCATGAGCAGGCACTCTTTGACGATAGCGAGCTGTACGATGATAGTAAGTGGCCGTGGATTTCATGTTAAACAGTTAATATCTAACTTAAAAATTGATATATGTTTCATCTAGATACGTTATCTATAAATAATGGTTTATTTAATTGATTTTCCTATATAATAATAACAAAATACGTACCGATAGGATCTACATGTGTGATGTGGTCTACGAAGTCTCTTTTACCTAAATACACTGTTATCTGAAAACAATAAAATTTCAACTTTAGTATAAAGTAAGGAAAAATATTATAGCAGTGGATGATAAGTGGTTTTAAGGCAATTGGCGTTCGGTTCTTTGGCTCGAAAAGTAAGGTAGGTAGGTACTTGAAGTAAAAAAAGACGTAAAGAAACTCATCTTTTTTTATCACTTAGTAAAAACAATTATGAAAATATTTTATTACTAATTCTATCATGCGGCTTTGAGTTTTAATCAAGAATTGACGTATGTATTAAATTTCATACAAATCCGGTTAGCAGTTTAAGCCTGTTTGAGTAACAAACAATAACATATTTTAAACAAAAGGAGTTCCCAACAGTTTCCGCTGCGCAATTCCGTTATCTGCCTCTCTTAACATTCCTTTACAACGTACATTTCGGGATATATAATCTTAAGGAATTGTTTACATTATAAACGAATTTTTTTAAAAGGAATAATGATAAAACGCAGCGCACTACATATTCTACAATATCAAAATTATAACTGTACATATATTTATATTTAATATATTATATTTATACAAATAAATTATTGATTGATTGGAAATATAAAAAAAAAATATGTTTCGATTCCATTGATATAGGGTTTGCATTGATAGGCCAGTCGGTCATTCATGACAAGTTTTTTTTTATACGTAGATAACCCAATATAGGCCACACACGCTACTATGTATCGTGGCGTGTGTGGCCGCCTTATCAAATGACTGAGTCACTGATTCGTTAGGTATAGGTAATTTATTTCGCAATCATACGGACATACAAAAACTATGACTGACACTTGTATAAACATAGCAAAAAATTATTTATCAATGTATAATTAAATTATGACCTAATAGACAATTTAAAAACAACAAATACTTTGATTTCTTGTAAGTATGCTTCTTACATACTCGGATGTACGCAGAGAAGGTAAAGTTGAAATAGTTAGTACACTTTAAGAGAGTTTTTACCAGTGAAACTGAGTATTTTATCTATAGGAAAATGAATCGATGAGAGAAAAAAAAAAGAATTAAAAATCTTCCAAACTAACTCAACAGCTGGATACCCTGTATTAGTATACGAGGTTTAAATAGTTGCTTTTCCATATTTCTCTGCTGTTCCACTGCTAGAACAATGGAGAGGGCTATGCTCGGAGTTTCTTTGCTCTACAGCATTTGCATTCACGGAAGGAAACCCCGTCAAAACATAGGTACTGCTGTGAAACTGTCATTTATTGGAATAAGCAGAAACACTACAATTAAATTCTCCGATTTCACTAGATCATACTGAAATCACTTACTTCATTCAACCTGCAAGTTACGTTTATATTTAGTAACATTCAATTGCAAATACATTTGTTATTATTACCTTGCCATTTGGAGAGCTCTTCTTGAAAACCCTCGTAGCCTGCCGCTGTCTGTTGATGAGCTCGTCCAACCTGGAATCCTCCAACTTGCTGGCGTCCATGTTGCCACCGCACCCTCCGCAACACTGTAAACAAGAGACCACTCACTCAATTAAAACTTCACTTTATATTAAACATATAATGGGCACGTTTTAAGCTACCTTCGATTAGAAATGGGTAATATTTATATTTTGAGTTCTGGATATTGATGACTATGCAATGCAATATCGCCTATACCAATTAGATATCTAATATATGTGTTATTGGGCCAATATATGTACAGATAGATTTTGTAACTACAATATATAGATATTGATACATGATTCCCACCCTTAATTCTAATAGGTATTCTAATTCGCTGGTGGTTTCTTGAAGCTATGTTACGTTATTAGATCGCAAATTTTAATAATTCTATTTGTAATCGATAGGATTATGAAATGATTAGAATTACATTTATTTTAGTTGCTATTACAGACCTTGATAACTTGAATGGACCGCGAGTTCAATAAATTATGGTTACCACATATAGTAATGAAATATACCTTAATATACTAGTATTTAAAGAATACTGGCTGATTCTGAAATTTACAATTTGTACAATGTTTAGGGAACAATGTTCTGCAGACAATGTATATTTTGGAAATTCCATTAACATCCTTGCGAGAAAAATGTTACATTATAATTAACTTAATGTTAAAGTTTTGAGATGGGCACACCACAGCGGTCTTCATATAGAGATCTGACAGTTTACGTTCGGAACATGGGAGTCCATGTTCCGATGTTCATTCTGTGACGAGTGAAACTGCCATTTTTCTTTGCGGGTCAAATGTACTTATAAACATAAAATTCCATGAACATTGTCAGTCTTTCGGCTTGGTATCATTATAGTAAGCTTACAGACAGTCGTGGGGTCGACTCTGAGGCGGCATTCCTTTATTCTAAAGTTATGTCTAAAATTGAAATTGCATTTTTATATCACAGCGAAATCTTTATTCTGAAGATAAATATAGATTAAATTTCTAATACATTTCGGACATTATTATTTATGATGGTCCATAAAATAGTAATTTTGCGAAAATATCAAATTAAAATATTAAGAGACAAGTTTAGAAAAACGGCTAACTAGTCGTAAAGTAACTTCGTAAGGGCGCAATAATCTACTTATACAAAAGTTGAATTTAGATAATTGCTTCTTGGAAAAAATATTTAAATAATACTGAAACCCATATCATGGATATGGGTTTGACGTATAGAAATAGAATAAGTAAATGGCTTTGTTATGTACTGTTATGTTATGTTATGTTAGCATAAGCGACACGACGCTCCAGTGAAGGATGAAATAATAGACATGTAGTCAGGTAGGTCAGTCGGTCCATTGTGACAAATTAACCACGGAGAGGGGGGGGGTTGTAAGTAATGGAGTTGTTATTCCCCATTACTAGCAATATACCCTGTCAGGTCGGCCTCCACGTGGTCTACCCTGAAAATCATCGTGGTTAATTTTTATCGAATCCGTCACAATGGTCTAACTAATCTGGTTTTATCCTTAGCTGTCACCACTCATTGGTGCCCCGCCAGTGTATACCTATAGCGCAGGCGAAGTTACCATTCCATTATCATCCATTAAGTATTCACCACGTATTGATCATGACGGTTTCTAAAAGAGGGGCCGCGCAGAAGTTGACATCTCTACAAACTATAAAACAAAGTCGCTTTCCGCCATTTGCCTCTCGGTATGTACGGTTAGACCTTTTAAACTATGCAACGGAGTTTAATGCAATTTTTACTAATAAATATAATAATTTAAGACGAAGATTTTTACGTAGAGTTTAATATTATCTTTGTGTCAATTTGTTGAAACATGACGATAATTGTTTAAGATGTCGGAAAAAATTAAGCCGACTGAGAGCATTCATCGAAAAAGCTGTCTTATTCTTTTGAAACATAACAAAATAATGTACAACGTAATTGTTTTTTTTTATTAGGAACGTAAAAAAGTCAGCGATGGTATATGTCTATATTATATGAGCACATTTTTATAGAATAGAATAGAATAGAATAGAATAGAAATCATTTATTCAAATAAACTTACATTGAAGCACTTTTGAAAAGTCATTACATTTTTTTTTTGCTCCAATTTACCGCTCGTTCGGAAAGCTGTCTCATCACAAGAAGAACGAGCAAGAAACTTGCGTGATGCTCTTTTAAATAATTTTATTATTATTTTACATTTTTAAGTTTAATTGTGTGAATACAAACCACCAATTAGCACTAATTCAATTAAATACTCAAAAAGAAAAAAAAATTGAATACATAACCAACTGGTTAAACAATTAATAAGAGGAAATCAGTCATAGTGATTAGAGCAGACCAGTCCCTACAAGCAGCACCCGTTCACAAGTATGACGGATGAGCCAGCCATCACTGCGCTCGACCATATTTTAGGGAGCCCAATGACCCGGCCCACCACGCCGCCACAAGTCTGGACATTTTAGTGAGCATGACTACTCAAAACACTAGACCACGTCAAAGCTACTCACAATTGCCATCTGATAGTTATAGTATTCACATTTTACATAAGAATGCATGCGGCAATTAATACAAAATCCGCTACGCTTTCATATTTCTAAAATTAATCAATTAAATCAAGAACACACGGAGAAAAAAAAAACTATAACGTTGTATGCTATAAACTAATTATTTACTTGATATGTTGTCATCTATGAATTCGTCTATCCTGTAATAGGCTTTCTTACATAAAAATTGTTTAATATAAGATTTGAATTGCCTCTCTGTCAGATTTAATGCAGAAAATCCGGCAGTTTATTATAAAATCTTATGCAATTACCATAGAATGAATTACTGATTTTGTGCAGACGGCATTTAGGTAAAATAAGCTTATTTATATTGCGTAAGTTTCTACTTGTACATCTTTGAGTTTTTTAAAACTCAGGTAAGTTATTTCGTGTATATATAATATTTTCATAAATGTATTGTGAAGTAACTGTGAGGATATTTGAGTCTTTAAAGCACTGACGTAATGACTCTCTTGAACCCATACCATAAATAGAACGTATGGCTCTCTTTTGTAAAACAAATATAGTATTTATATCGGCTGCTTTACCACACAGCAGTATGCCATAAGACATTATGCTATGGAAATAACTAAAATATACAAGTTTAGCCGTCGCCACGTCTGTTAATTGCCTAATTCTTCTAATTGCATATGCAGCAGAACTGAGTCTACTGGCCAATTTTGAAATATGGGGCCCCCATTGTAATTTCGAGTCCACTGTTATACCTAAAAAAACTGTATCATTAACAAAATTTACTATTTCGTCATTAAGCAATAACTGTGTATTTATTAGTCTTACATTAGGAAGTGTAAATTTTATACACTTTGTTTTGCTGGAATTTAATAATAGGTTATTACATGTAAACCAATTTAATATTGCAGACATAGCACAATTTACATCGTCTAATTGATTACTTTGACGTCCAATTTTAAACACTAACGAATATCATCCGCAAACAGCACTATATCTGCAATTTTCTCTACCATAAAGGGAAGGTCATTTATGTAGATTAAAAAGAGAAAGGGGTTTAAGATTGACCCATGTGGAACGCCCATCTTAATATTAGCTCCCTTAGATTTTACACCGTCAATATCTACAGTTTGAACCCTATCCTCTAAATAAGTTCTCATTAATTTTAGATCATTATCTCTTATACCATAATGTTCGAGCTTGTACAAAAGCGTTTTATGATCCACACAATCAAATGCCTTTGATAGGTCACAAAAAACTTTTAGTGCATCCTGTGACCTCTCCCAAGATTCGAAAATATGTGTCATTAGCGCAACACCTGCGTCAGTGGTAGACTTGCCGGCGGTGAAACCATATTGCTGACTGTGAAGCAGTCCGTTAACCCTGAAGTGATGTAACATTTGATTTAACATTATCTTTTCAAACACCTTACTTAGAACTGGCAAAATAGATATAGGTCTATAGTTCCCTGGCTCAAATTTATCTCCTGATTTAAATAGTGGGATTAATTTGCTAAATTTCATTAAATGTGGAAAAACGCCATTATCAATACATTTATTAAAAATAGTGGCTAGATATGGAGCAACAATATCTATGAAAGAACTAACTACTTTTACAGACATGCCCCAAAGGTCTTCCGTATTGTGTTAAATTTAGCTGTTTGAATATTTTTATGATATGAAAGGGGCTAACATGTGAAAATTTAAATCTTAAAGAACAACAACCGATATTAGTCTCTAGTAATTTTTTTGCTCGAGATTGAGATGAGTCCAGAGAAGATGTAATATCAATCGGAATATTAGCAAAAAAATCTTCAAAAATATTAACTACATCTTTTGTTGTTGTTATTAATTTATTATCATAATTTAATGTAAATTGATTACAGGCTATTTTAGATCTTCCAGTTTCTTTATTTATAATGCTCCAGATGGTTTTAATTTTGTCAGAAGACTGCTTAATTTGTTTATTAAAATAATTAGACTTAGCCATAATACAAACTTTTTTAAAAATTTTAGAATAATTTTTTACATAAGTGGTGAATTTGTCATCAAATCGATATTTTTTTTGATCGTATAAATCAAACAAAATATTTCTACTTTTAAGTATTCCTACTGTTGCCCATTCCGTGAATTTAGATTTAACATGAACTTCTTTTTTCTTGAATAATTGTTCATATTCTCCGGATAAAATATTAATTAGCTTGGTGTAAAGATAATCAGGATTATTACTAGATTGTAACAGCAAATCCAATTTATTTTTAATCGCGCTTTTGTATTTATTAATATTGTAAACGTTTATTTGTCTTTTTGATTTTTTATTATTGTTGACTTTATTGATTTGACTGCTAAACTTAACAACTTGACCACAGTGATCTGAAGGAAGTTTATTTATTATGAATTTTTCTGTATACTCGCAGTTACAAAAAACATTGTCAAGACAAGTAGCAGACGTGGCAGTTACACGAGTGGGTTCATGAAAGACATGACATAAATCAAATGACTGAAATAAACTAATAATTTTTGTACATGTGGGTGTGTTACAAAGAATATCAACGTTAAAATCTCCACATACAATAATTTTTTTAATACTATTAAATACTTTTTTTAAAATATCCTCCATCACCCCTTCAAAAAGATTGTAATCACTATTAGGAGGCCTGTACACACATATAAGGATATAATTTTCTAGTTCTATACAAGATAATTCTATACAACACTCAATAGAAAGTCTAACAATGTCAGCACGTTCCTTTACTTTAATATTATTTCTTGCAATTATCATAGACCCGCCTCTGTTAACTATTATAACTATTATAATGTTTAAAAAATTGTTACAAATTATGTGTTGGAAAGCTATTTATCCATGTATCTGTCATACAATAGATAGATAGAAACTCTTTATAGTTTGCTCCAAATGATTACAATAGTAAACTTATTATAGATACAAACATTTACAAGAAATGTTTACAGTGAAAAAATAATGAGAGATACAATAGTAATATTATTAATCACTTCACACTGTCACCACATTAGTCTCTATCTTGCACCCGTGCGAAGCCGGGGCGGGTCGCTAGTATATAATATTATGTAACTTACGTAGGTCCTTGTACGACTCCACGGTGCGCGCTACTGTATAAGCTAATCCGGCGCAGCCACGCCGCCCTGTAACAAATGAAACAAAATTTTGTACTACATTTTTACATCGTCAAATTTCATTTTAAAAACATACAATCAGCCTTTAACTGTAGACTGTTGAACATCAGCTTCCCCTTGGGGGGTTTTGCCAATTACTGGCAACTTTACAACGCTTGGCAGGCGGGTTGGCAACCACAGTTAAACTTTTAGATGTTTTAAGAGGAACGCTGTTGCCCATTCCTCAACTATAAAATTCCCTTAGTCGCTTCTTACGACACTTACGGGAAAGGAAGAGGTGACCTATTCTATGCCGGGAACACACGGCTAAAAACAAAACAACTAAAACAAAATTATATATTATTTCATATAAGGTACCTTGAATGTCGCTACATTTAAAGTCTATGGTATATGTGTACTGTTGTTTGCTTTATCTGTCTAAGAAGTTTAATAAATTTGCAAGTATAACATACTTTTCCTTAAACATAAACAAAAAATACTGAAATCTAAAAAAATACAGCTACAAAAAACACATATGGGATTTTAAAAATTGCTATGAGCGACATATTCTGTATTCTGTGTTAACACTACATCATATATTATGTTCTCTTGCCAGCTATATCCATTTTAGAAGATTTTAGAATAATAAAATTACAGGTAGAGGTTATATTTTCCTGTTATATAAATACTATAAATAAATACAATTTGCAAATGAAATAAATTGCATAATACAAAGGCAAATACGTAACAAATGGTCCGATACGACTCTGTCACGAGTTTCATTCATACGTATTGCTACTGAGTCATTGTGTTGAGGATGAACTAATAAAACTGAGTAGGAACTACTTTGTCACACTGAACATGTTGTGAAGTTCGTTTTGTGAAAATAATTAAGGCCCCTTTTCTTGTATTTCTTACAAACTACAATCTTGGCATATTCAAACAACTTGCGAAAGAGTAATTTGGAAGATTATGTGGCAGGGACAAATGGACCAGTTAGCCCAATCGATGGCCGATAACTCACTTATTTCAATAGTAGTCTCAGACATAAGACAAATAAACTACTAATTTGTGTTATGTCCCTAATACTAAACTCTACCCGAAACAAATACAATGCGCCCATCATAATAGGCATCCCGTATCAAATAACTCGGACGGGATGGCTAAATAATTGCATCTATATCCTTAATAAAATTTGGTTGATCCTGTTTGGTTGTTTAACAGATGGCATCCTTACTAATCGCGGTGTAGTCCCGGCATAGAATAGGCCACCCCTTCCCTTCCCGTAGGTGTCGTAAGTGGCGACTAAAGGAGGGCGAGGGTTTTTCTTAATGGGTGGTAATGGTATGGTATGGCCTGCGCTATCGGTACACGCTAGCGGGGCACCAGTGATAGATCATAGGTGGAGATGTAAGCAGGTTTATCGACCCATCGTGAAGAATTCAACAAGAATTAACCACGATGGTTTCCAGGGGGAACCACGTGAAGGTCGACCTAATAGGGTATAGTGCTAGTAATGGATTGTTAGAACCTATTACTAACAATCCCTTCCCCCCGGAGGGCGAGGGCTGGGCAGCAGTGTACAATGATATTGTGAACAACCCAAATTACAGCGTACATTCCTACATCTTTTAAAGCCTAACTGTGAATGCCAATCCGTTTGCCAAACGTGGCAACTACCGGCAAAACTCCCCAAGAGGGAGGCTTCTGTTCAGCAGTGGACAGTTAAAGGCTGATTTAATGATCCTTACTAACGTGAACAAATGAGATTATCTGTTACCCTTTGATGCCTTCACGGTCTAACCAATATTAATTAAATTTGGCTTTTGATAAATAGACTGCTATTTTTTATCCCCAATAATCAATATATTTTACGTAACGTTTACGAGATTGTACGAACCTTAATAAAATTTGATACACATATTAACGAAAACCTAGATTAAAAAACGATCCAGTCAAGTTTTATTATAAAAATTGACATACAAAACTAGAACGTAGAGTTCTACTAATATAATTAAAGTAGTTGTATCCCGCGGCTTCACCTGTGTACATCGGTAGGTATGTAAAGTATTCTATGTGCTAATTAGGATATAATCTACCCGTGTATCAAATTTAATTCAAATCTGTTCAATAGTTTATGCTTGAAAGAATAGTAAACATCCATCCATTGTTACAAACTTTCGAATTTATTATATTACTAGCGACCCGCCCCGGCTTCGCACGGGTGCAATGCTGATACTAAATAGCGTCGCCGGCCCCCCATTACATTACGACATCACATTAGAAACCTCTAAAATTATCAGTGTTCCTCTACTATATTATGCATGTATTATACACATAAACCTTCCTTTCGAATCACTCTATCTATTTAAAAAACTCCATCAAAATCCGTTGCCCAGTTTTAAAAATCTAAGCATACATAGGGACAGACAAACGGAAATCGACTTCGTTTTATACTATGTAGTATTAGTGATAGGATTAGATATATGATCTAGTACTCAATTACAAATATCAATTTCCTTTGCGTAACAGCGTCAGTGGTAATAAAGTAATCCTGTATACGTATCTGTTTGAAACCAATACAATAATAAATGTACTTATTACAAAACCAGATATCAACCAGTCGAAACCACAGAAATGTTTTATAAAACATTAATTACAGATGTCGGTTGTTTTTGTAAACTTTGTAATTATAATGACGTGTTGGCGAGATTCAGTATGAAATAACGTAAATATGTACATTTAAAATTAGCGCTCGTACAAAAATTATATGGCAAAAAAAAAACATATCCGGGTATAGAATATTAGTACTACAAATGTTTCATAGGTAAATATAATGTTGCGTTGGTTTGGTCATTTGGAGAGGATGGATGAAAGAAGAATTACGAAAGAGATTTATCGAGCAAGAATATATGGAGATGTCGGTAGGGGCCGCCCTAGGCGGACGTATGTTGACCAAATAGGCGACGTGCTGAAGAAGGCCCAAATTTAAAGTACCCGTAACCGGCGAGCGTGATGAAAAGATTGATGAATGTGGAAGAAGCGAAAGAGGTTTGTTTAAATCGAAGCATCTGGCGTTCCATTGTTTCTGCCTACCCTAATGGGAGACAGGCGTGACAGATATGTATGTATGTAAATATAATATAATCTGCATAAATTGGAATGAAGTCGTAAATATTTCTATACTAAAAAACAACAATTATAATGGCATTATAAATCTGCTATTATAAAGCGCATACTCGAACATGAGAGTAATTCCTATCGATTGTAATTTATCCAAATAACTTGAAAATTAAAAAAACAAGCAAAATAAGAACCTCCTAATTTTCGAAATCCCTTGATTGCTCTATTAATAAATGATACAGAGCAGGATTGAAAGTCATACTGTTTTTACCTTAACATCTACATTTTAATACCTAGTGAATTCATCACGATGCACCAACTGACAAAATTTCGTCCTCGCTTATCATCTCTCACTGGTAATGGCGGGGTACCAGCGAAAACCAAAACTACAGACAGGGTTTTTTTAATGGATGACTATGGAATGGTAATTCCGCCTGCGCTTGTCAACGAAAAAACAGGTCAGTTAGCCCATCGTGATGAATACACCTGGAATTCAACAAGATAGTTTCCAGGAGGGCCACGTGGAGGCCGATTTGACAGGGTATATTGCTAGTAATGATAGTCCTCATTACTAACACTCCCACCCAGGGGAAAGGGATTGTTAGTAATGGAGACTAAGAATCCCATTGCTAGCAATTTACTCAACCAGGTCGACCTCCTCGCGGTTCTCCCTGGAAACTATCATGGTTAATTCCTGATGAATTCATCATGATGGGTCAACTGGCCTGTTTTCATTCTCACCTATCACCCTTCACTGGTGCTCCGCCAGCGTATCCCGTTAGCGCAGGCGGGGTTACCATACCATTTTCTTCCATCAATAAAACACTCCCACCCTCCACCCCAGTACAGACAGGGTTACCATTTTATTTTGATCCATAAAAAAATGTTGAAAACATACTCGATATATAGTTAGGACGTAGGTATGTACATATTTAACATAACGATAGCCATATTTGTCGTGAATTTGCCAAGTAATGGTTAATAGGATCCGTGCACTGTACCCGTCAGGCGGTGACGGGGGACCGGATAATCGGATTTCCGACTGTGCCAGTGAGTGGGGCCACAATCTAATCAAAAGTATGGACACCTCAACGCCACTGCTCAGTTCTTTAATCATTCATGCAAAAAGGGGTGTTATAAAGTTAGTCCAGATCTAGTTATGGTGTTAGCGACTCCAGTCAACAGTAATGTAATTTTCTTTTCATTATGGTCACATTGTATAAAGTGGTTAATGAATGATAATGGAAAGCTAACCTCGCCTACGTTAAGGGTATACGTTGGCCGATCACCAGTGAGGAACGATAGGTGAGAATGAAAAGGCTAGTCGATTGAATAAGATTTTTTTTCATGGATGATATTGGAATAGTAATTTTTTCGGTAGTATCGGTAACGCTGGCAACACAACAGTAATTGATGATAGGCAAGGATGAAAATTGGTTAGTTGGTCTACTATGACAAATTCGACACGAATTAACCACAATTTTTTCCAGGAGAAATCGCGTGGAACCTGATGAGGTATGCAGCTAGCAATGAGGCTGTTAAAGTCCCTAACAATCCCTATCTCCTTATGTGTTGTTATTCCCGAGGACAAAAATGTTATGTCTCTTGTAATTTCACTGTCGTACACTTCAAACCGAGGCATAGACTTCAAAGCGAGTCATGCAAGTATAGCTCTTTGACGGCAGAAACACGAGTGGCAAAGAGGTATCTATGTAGGTGAATTTTATACACAGTACCCGTTGCTAAAAAGACGTGTCGGTCTGTGTAATACGTCGCTTTTGACGTATTGATCCGTCTGATACGTCACAACCGGTTTTATGGGCCGGTAATCGTATCCGTCCACGATAGTGTAGATCAATATTATCAGCAAAAATATGACCGGATGTATATAATTTAACACAATATTT